CCTAAAGAGCTGTCAGAGTTATTATGTGTACCATACCTAAAGAGCTGTCAGAGTTATTATGTGTACCATACCTAAAGAGCTGTCAGAGTTATTATGTGTACTATACCTGGATCGCGACAAGAAGACAGTAGTTCCTGCTACATAGACTTTATAGCCGCTACTATGTTCTCAAATTAGTCATCGGTCAGAAACTCTGCCTTCCCTAGTGCCACATCTCTCCTCAAGTTTTGTAGTCTAAACAATAACATTGATGTGAATAATATGACCTATCAACAAAATATTATGCATCACATTAAGTTTCAGAACTAGTTCAATTTTTGAAGCTATTAAATTCCCAGCTGTCTTCGTCTGTTTCCGCAACTAAATTTAATGGGTCCTTAACGTGACCTTACAACTTTGCTGCAATATTATTTTCTACAATTTTGCAAATGTAGAAGTGTATACAAAAGGCGTTCCGTTAACGAGAAATGGTTTTTGTTTGTCTTCTGAAGTATCAGTGCCATTACACTTTAACCCCTATGACCTCGAAACTTTGCCAATTTTTTTCCCGTTCATGCAGAAAGTGTACCATTTTTAGAAAAAAAATGCATTTTTAGTCTTCCAAAGTGAGTGTCGGTGTACGTGTATATAAAAAGTGTACTGTTTTTTAGGAACTTTGTAATTTCAGTCTCCCCAAGTGTCCACGACCTTGACCTTTGACCCTGTGACATGGAAACTTTGCGGAAATATATTCCTTGCATTACTTCCTATAGCTTTCTAATATATATATGTTTATATTATACAAAAAGTGTACCGTTTTATGGAAATTCGCAAATTCAGATTCTTGCCATGTTTTATGTTTCATTTGTATCTAGTGACCGTGAGCTTCAACCTCATGACGTTGAAACAATATATGTACCAATTACATTGTCTACAATTTGCTGCTAGTTATTTGTTAACAAAAAGTTAGCCGTTTTTCAGTTAACAAACTAGTTTTATAAAATAGTAACCAATGTCGTCTGCTTATAAATCTACGTTAAATACAGATACATTTTATATCATCTGAAATGAGAGACCACCGTCTTATCCGGACCCGATGAAAAGTATAATTTTGGGCACCGATTTGGAAGTTTATATTTGTTCAGGACTGAATCTTTATTGCGATGCATGTAACCTCGACCTCATCTCGGCCGATCCCAGCCATCTTACTCGAACAGCATTCATCAGTTTCTTCAAGTTATCGAAAATTAACTATCACAACTAAGAAAAACCATTTATTTGAATGTTAATCATTGTTACACACACATATTTTGAGCTGTTCGTATCAGTACGACTTGTGAAACATAAACATACAATATGTTACATTTAGGGGATAGTACGTTGTTTTGAGTGGCTATACTGGCGATTAGAACATGAAATTTGGGTTTCAACTCGAGACCGATAGGTCGAGAGTTTAAACCAAATTTCATGTTCTAATCGCCAGTATAGACACGAAAAACAACGCACTATCCCCATTCTAACACACCTTAACAAATATACTTCGCTAATATGTTTAGAAACATTGTATTTCCTTGTACAAAAGTACTTTGTGAGCTGAACTGGCGACGTGTCATTCTGCAGCGGACTGACCAATCGGAAAGAAGCTTTCAAAGGTCGGTCATTTAGCCCCGCCCATACTTGCGAGAGCTCGATCTGTATGTTGACGAGGCGGAATATTTGGATTGTTCGTGAACGTCCTGTTACCAAAGTTTATACGATACATTCGGATTAATATTGACCAAGTTCTTATATATTTCCATATCAGTATGCATACCAATCTGTGCTTATCGACAAAATCGGTGATTATTTGTATAGATTTGTGAAGAGTTTTGTGTAAATGCATACGACACATGTGAAATGTTTCATTTGAGTTCGGATCTAAATAGATGCCTTCACACGGATGGAACGAACGTTTCAGTAATAAATGGAGGTAAGAACAAGGAATGTGTTCTTTTATTACTTTTTGATTCATTCAACAAATGCATTTCATCGGTCGTTTCTGTTCTGTTGCCTACTAGCCTTATCAGCGGGATTTCGCTATGAGGCGAGCTTGACGCCATATTGTTTTTGTTAGAAACGGGGCGTGGCTTAAGTGCGATGGGAGGAGCTTAACACGATTGATCATGATTCTATCGCAGATTAGAACATGGTCCGTATCCAATCAAAACACGCGTTGCAAACGAATCGTGTTAGAATTAGGGGATAGTACGTTGTTTTGAGTGGCTATACTGGCGATTAGAACATGAAATTTGGGTTTGAACTCGAGACCGATAGGTCGAGAGTTTAAACCAAATTTCATGTTCTAATCGCCAGTATAGACACGAAAAACAACGTACTATCCCCATTCTAACACACCTTAACAAATATACTACGCTAATATGTTTAGAAACATTGTATTTCCTTGTACAAAAGTACTTTGTGAGCTGAACTGGCGACGTGTCATTCTGCAGCGGACTGACCAATCGGAAAGAAGCTTTCAAAAGTCGGTCATTTAGCCCCGCCCATACTGGCGAGAGCTCGATCTGTATGTTGACGAGGCGGAATATTTGGATTGTTCGTGAACGTTCTATTACCAAAGTTTATACGACACATTCGGTTTACTATTGAACAAGTTCATACATGTACATGTCAGTATGCATACCAATCTGTGCTTATCGACAAAATCGGTGATTATTTGTACAGATTTGTGATGAGTTTTGTGTAAATGCATACGACATATGTGAAATGTTTGATTTGATTTCGGATCTAAATAGATGCCTTCACACGAATGGAACGAACGTTTCAGTAATAAATGGAGGTAAGAACAAGGAATGTTTTTTTTTACTTTTTAATTCATTCAACAAATGCATTCCATCGGTCGTTTCTGTTCTGTTGCCTACTATCAGCGGGATTTCGCTATGAGGCGAGCTTGACGCCATATTGTTTTGGTTAGAATCGGGGCGTGGCTTAAGTGCGATGGGAGGAGCTTAACACGATTGATCATGAGTCTATCGCAGATTAGAACATCGTTGCAAACGAATCGTGTTAGAATACTGGTTAGAAACTGCCTGCATCTTTGAGCAAAAACACGGAAGGCCTGATGACGTCACAAATGTTGCTGCGTGACGTCATTCAGGCGTGTTTACAACAATGTTTATTCAAGGCATTTTATTCAAACGTTCTTCTGTACTGACTGGTGTTCATCGGCATTTTGACATTTTGACAATGTATATTTAGACAAATTATTAACTGAAACCTTTACTAATGTGACGAGTTTGCATAAACATTAAGCCTAAATAATGATTATGGTTATGGTTCGTTGCCAAAATAATCCTTCATCCACGATAAGATTATTATTCTATAAAACAAGCACCTTTGTATAAGTGTGTCCCTTGTGTCAGCATCCCCGTCAATGCCAGCACGATAACAGTATCCACTGTTGATAGGATTTCCTGAAAAAACCCCAGGTCCTGACGTCTTCAGCCATGATTAAGTACTGTATGTAACTGCACGTTTGATTGGTCCATTCATTTATGACACTTAAACGCGTTAAAAAAATAAGTACACCATTTAACGCGTTATACTTGGGAAGCATTTTATCGCGTTAAAATATTTTTTTTGTTTAACGCGATAAAAGTATATATTTAACGTGATAGCATTTACTGCGTTGAAACTATTTTTAATCCGTTAAATTGTTGTTTAACGCGTTAAACGCTAATGCGTTAAATGTTATCTCGTTTTTGACATGAACGGCCTTTCATAATATATAGCCTTAACTCTAACAAATATATAACATGTGAGATAGTATATATAGCCTTAACTCTAACATATATATAACATGTGAGGTAGTATATACATGTATAGCCTTAACGCTAACATATGTATTGCGCGGACGAATATATTCACGAGTGCGCGGAGCGCACGAGTTAATATATACGTCCGCGCAATAAATGAGTGCTTTCTGATTCGAAAAACACAAGTGTGTGGTCTTGCTTTTATTACATACCTGTTGAATCTTGTTATAGTTACAAGCAATTTTCAGAGGATGAATTACAACGTTCTGTATACGTATTGCACATGTGATAAATAGCCTTAACTCTAACATACACATAACATGTGAGACTCAGATAGTATATATAGCCATAACTCTAACACTAATTCAATTGTACAGTTGATTATTTTTTGGAGCAAAATATATGGGCAAATGCCTGTAATCATATCTTAAAATCAAAACAGTAAACCATCGTGTAGAAGACCGGCCTTTTAACTCCCAAGTGTTACGCTCATTTACGTTCTCTGCGAAACCCTCGAAATTTTGAGTATGAAAGAAACATAGAAGATACATTCCATTTTGAATTAAAATGTTTAATAGTTTACGGACTTGAGAGAATTACATAAAAATCTAGTATAAATTAGAATTATCATAAAAAATCGTGAAATACCATATATACAGTTGCCGTTCGGTCCGTTTCGATCACACACCGTATTCAAATGTATATTGAATTGAACACCCATTAAAATAACTTCATTGGTTTTTTTCTGTTCCGTTTTGGTTCTGTTCGTTTTAAACGGTCACACGCATTAGTCACAAGTGTTTACTTCGCGCCGTTAAATAACTTCAGATATTTCTTTTTGGTTACGTTTCGGTTCCGTTTACGTCCGTCTTCTTACGGTCACACACAGTGATATATTCCATACGCTTTAAAAAACCTTGATATGTTTCTTTTATAAGTTTCGACAGAGACGTATAATACAATAATGTATTATACGTCTCTGGTTTCGATTATAATGTTTAAACTAAAATACGTTTCTTTTTCGGTTCAGTTTTGGTTCTTTTCGTTTTAAACGGTCACACACATTATTCAAAAGTGTTTTCTGTATTCAAATGTATTTAGTTCGCTTGGAATAACCGTATACATTTCGTTTCGGTCCCATTTCGGTTCCGATTCGGTCCGTTTTGGTCCATTTCGGTGATTAGATGCACCGCAAATCGGAAACGAAACTTGCAACTCGCACGGCCCTAGTGCGTTACGTGTAGGCCCTATACGAAGAGGGTTTTGCGCCTATATAGCATTATGGCGACGAATGAACATAGTGTTATCAATGAAGATAGATTAACATGTTGCTCAGTGCCAAAACAAGTGAAATGTTGTGTTGATTTGTGCGATTCTCCTGATGGTCACATTCATGGCGGTTTTAGACCTGATTCTGAATGGGTTTACAGGTGTCTCGGAGAACTGACACCATTGCTGGATGAGCAAGCTAACCCCGACGCATTCATGAAAATTTATCCTGCGAAGGTTGGCAATAACAATGCTGATAATGGTGCTTCGTTTTCAGATGCATATTGCAATGTTGAATTTTACCCGGATGCATATCCAATCGCTCAAATATTTCAGAAGGGCCTAGGAGTTCTGCTTGAATATTTCACCGACAACCGTAAACCTGCAGACGAAATGGCAGCACACTCGTTGGAAGTTTTACTCCATTTCCTCGAAAAAAATCACTTTACACAGCAAGGTATGGTCTTGCAACTAGCATAGGCTGTGTCTATGTCCATCGGGTGTCAGACGTTTCGCTCCAATATTAACGGCAATATCACAATGTCCGGGACAGTCACATGGCACAGAATGATCAGGCGATCAAGAAAAAAAATTCTCCTGGGGGAGACCCCCATGAAGCCCCCACCGATGTGAGGCGTAACATCCCCTCCCATACACTCCCCTTCCTCGCGCTGCACGCTTGCAGGTGCTGCCTTTTGTCAGCACGTTTCATCATTGGGCTTACACATTGAGAGCTGACATTTGTTACGCCCCTGCAATGCGAGACACTCTCGCATTACAAAGACCAAATTGTCTCCAAGACCTCATTTGAGAGACAATTTCGTCTCTGTAATGCGGGAGTGTCTCACATTTCCGAGACTGTTTCCGAAAATTGAGGGTCTAAGTTCCCAACCTGATGAACGACTGAATGGATTTTGACCAAATTTGGTCTGAAGCATCCTTCGTTGGATACCAATTTTGTATAAATGGTGGGTCTGGCCCCCGAGGGGCCAGAGGGGAGGGGTCAATAAGGGAAATATACCTACTGCCCCCAGACATATATGACACACTCAGCCCTGACTTAACATCATTCAAGGGAGTGCTACAAACACACCTGATGTAACATGCCACTTTTTTAGCTCACCTGGCACGAAGTGCCAAGTGAGCTTATGCCGTGGTGCGTCGTCCTTCGTCCATCCGTCTGCGTCTGGCGTCAAAATGTTACTTTAAACGATTTCTTCTTAATAACCGAAAGGCCTAGGGTGATGATATTTGCCCAGAAGCAAACTGGGATGAAGGGCTACCAAGTTTGTTCAAATAAATGACCTTCATCTATTTTCAAGGTCACAGGGGTCAAATATGTTAAAACTTTAAACAGTTTCTTCTGAATAACCAAAATTCCCAGGGTGATGATATTTGGCCAGTAGCATGCTGGGATGAAGGGCTACCAGGTTTGTTCAAATGAATGACCTTCACCCATTTTCAAGGACAAAGGGGTCAATTGTCTTAGAAAATCTTTAAACAACTTCTTCTGAATAACTTAGAGGCCTAGGATAATGATATTTATGCAGTAACATGCTAGGATAAAGGGCTACTATGTTTTGTTAAAGTTAATGAACTTTACCTATATTCAAGATCACAGGGGTCAAATATGTTTAAAACCTTTCAACAACTTCTCAATAACCAAGAGGCCTAGGATGATGCTATTTGACCAGTAGCATGCTGTAATAGAGGGCTTCAGAGTTTGTTCAAATGAATGACCTTGACTCATATTCAAGGTCACAGGGGTCAAATATGTTTAAAACCTTTAAACAACTTCTGAATAACTAAGAAGCCTAGGATAATGATATTTGGCCAGTAACATACTTGGATAAAGGACTACCAAGTTTGTTCAAACAAATGACCTTCATCTATTTTCAAGATAACAGGGGTCAAATATGTTTAACATCTTTAAAAAACTTCTTCTCAATAACCAAAAGGCCTTTGCCAGTAACATGCTGGGATGAAGAGCTACAAAGTTTGATCAAACAAATGACCATCTTTTTTCAAGGTCACAGGGGTCAAATATGTTTAAAACCTTTAAATAACTTCTCCTGAATATCCAAGAGGCATAGACTAATGACATTTGACCAGTAACATGCTGGGATGAAGGGCTACCAAGTTTATTCAAATGAATTACCATCTATTTTCAAGGTCACAGGGGTCAAATATGTTTAAAAAACTTTAAACAACTTCTTCTCAATAACCAAAAGGACTTGGATGATGATATTTGGCCATTAACATGCTGGGATGAAGCGCTTGTTTAAATGAATGTATTCAAAAGGTCCAGGGTAATGATATTTAGCCAGAAATATGCCGGGACGGAAGGCTATAAACTTTCAGGTTGCATGCGTCATATGTTTAAATCATTTAATAGATTCAAATGGATCGAACACAGATATTTTGCTTGTAGCTGTATATTAGTCCACTTTTAAGATTACAAGGGTGAGATTAATACTAAATGAGCGATTAAGGCCCATTGGGCCTCTTGGTTTTATATTACAGTTTTAAAAAACAACCACCAAAATATCAAGCTTTTAGCTAGGAATTTCTCCTCAACAGTGTGCCTATGTATAATCTTCGGCACAGTGAGGGACACATAGTAAACTGTTGGAATGAAAGGATTTGTTCCATATTTGGTCAGAACCATCCTTTGGGGAAGGGGAACCAATTTTGTATAAACTGTGGGTCTGGCCCCCTTGGGGCTGAGGGGTGGGGCCAAATAGGGGAAATATAGCAAATTACTCTTTAAAATCCTCCTTCTTCTGTAGGAATGAAAGGATTTGTTCCATATTTGATGTGGAGCATCCTTGGGTGAAGCGGAACCAATTTTGTATAAACCGTGGATGTGGCCCGCTTGGGGCCTGAGGAGCGGGGCCCAATAGGGGAAACATAGAAAATTATTCTTTAAAATCCTTCTTCTTCTGTAGGATTGAAAGGATTTGGTCCATATTTGGTGTGGAGCATCCTTGGGTAAAGGGGAACCAATTTTGTATAAACGGTGGGTGTGGCCCCCCTGGGACCTGAGGGGCGCGGCCCAATAGGGGAAATAGAAGTAAAACCTTTATAATCCTTCCTCTACCATATGGATTGAGGGATTTTATCCTAATTTAGTCTGGAGCATCCTTGGACAAAAGGGACTCAATTTTGTATAAACAGCGAGTGTGGCCCACCTGGGGATAGAAGGGAGGGGCCCAATAGGGGAAACATAGCAAATTCTTCAAATACCTTCTTCTTCTGTACGAATGACAGGATTTTGTCCAAATTTGGTATAAAGCATCATTGGGTGAAGGGGAACCAATTTTGTATAAACGGTGTGTCTACCCCCCCNAACCTTTTAAATCCTTCTTCGACCATCGTGATTAAGGGATTTTTTCCATATTTAGTCTGGAGCATCCTTGGACCATGGAGTCTCAATTTTGTATAATTGGTGGGTATGACCCCCCCCTAGGGGCATAGGGGTGGGGCTCTGTTTGAAGTTTGTTCTCACTTTATCTCAAGTACTGGATGGATCTATCTGAAATTTCATATGTACTTACAGCACCTACCATGAGGTGCTATATCTTTACTTCATACCTATTATTTCAAACATATTCAGGTGAGCGATACAGGCCCTCGGGGCCTCTTGTTCAGAAAGTTCTTGATTGATCTTTCTCAAATTATTTGCATAGGTTCCCTTTGAGCCCTAGTTTTTAGCTCACCTGGTCCTAAGGACTTATGCTATAGTGCGTCGTCCGTAAACATTTTCTTTAAATCGCTACTGGTCCTGAACCATTGAATGGATTTTGATGAAATCTAGTCTGGAGCATTATTGGGCAAAGATGATCAAATGTTGTATAAATGGAGGTTGTGGCTCCCCTGGAGCCGGAGGGAGGGGGGGGGCAATATGGGAAATAGAGGTCAACCCTTTAAATCGCTACTTGTCCTGAAAGACATGATGATCGCGAGCTAGTGTGGCACCCCGGAGGCCGGGGAGAGGGGGCCCAATAGGGGAAATATAGCAAAAAATTTAAAATCCTTCTTCTTCTCGAAGAATGAAATTATTTGGTCCATATTTGGTCTAAAGCATCCTTGGGAGAAGCAGCTCAAAAAGTAGGAAACTATTTGTAATATAACTTAAATGAGAGTATACATATTTTGCCATGATAACCAAAATATGGATCTTTCTCAGATGTAGGTTCCCCTTCTAAATGGTACTGACCAACTTCAACAATTTGGTCCCTAGTTGTGCATATTCAATTTAAGGCTGATCGGAAAACAAGATGGCCGACATGTGGCCATTTTGAATGTTGACATTTGAAGGTTGTTTATCTCCATTTCTCAGAGAGTTCTTCATGGATGTTTTTCAAATTTTACAAGTAGGTTCCCCTTGGTCCCCGGTTGTGTATGTTCCATTTAGAGACTGATTGGAAAACAAGAGGCCCAAAGGGCTAACCTGTTTCTTTTGTTACATGAAATTGACATATATTATGGTAGGTAACTTAAGACCAAATTTGGTAACTAGAACACAGGACATTTTAAAATCTCTTTAACGGTTCTGAAGATATTGTCGTTTGAAATTTTGATTTTGAAGCTTTTAACCCACATTGACCTTTGACTCCCGACTTGCACTTAAAGTTGACCTCTGACATCATAACTGTAATAAAGTAAACAATTCACATAGCTGGTCTACATAACATACTCAAGTATCATGACTCTAGTCCAAATGGTTCTTAGGATATTGTTGTTTGAAGTTTTTAACAGATTTGACCCCTGTGACCTTGAAAATAGGTCTACGTAATTTCAATGAGGAAACTTTATAGCATATCATCCTAGGTACCTACTGGCCAAATATCATGACCCTGGGCTTTATGGAACTTGAGAAGAGGATTGTTAAAGCTTTTAACCCATGTTGACATTTGACCCCTGACTAGCATTTAAAGTTGACCTTTGACCTCATTACTGTTATTGAGAAAAAGAGTCGCACTGCTAGTCTACATAACATACCCAAGTATCATGACTCTAGTCTAAATGGTTCTTAGGATATTGTTGTTTGAAATTGTTAACATATTTGACCCCTGTGACCTTGAAAGTAGGTCTAGGTCCTTTTAAATAAGGAAATGTATAGCACTCTATCTCAGGTACCTACTGGCCAAATATCATGACCCTAGGTCCTCCAGTTCTTCAGAAGAAGTTGGTCAAAAGAAAAAGTTGACGGACAGACGACGGACGGACGATGGACGCTTGTAGTACGGCATAAGCTCACATCGCCCATTGGGCCAGGTGAGCTATAAAAGAGGCCAACAGGCGGCCATTTAGAATTTTGTCAGTTAAAGTTTGTTGTCACTATTTCACATAAAGTTCTTCATGGATATTTCTTGAATTTCATTTAGTTCCTCTTGTATTAGTTGAAGTTTGTTAACCCTATTTCTCAGAAAGTTCCTGATGTTTCTTTTTCAGATTTATTATGTACATTGTAGGGCTCTCTTGTTTTCAACTGATTAAGAGGAAGAAGAGAAAAGTAGAGAAAAGATCAGTCTTACAGGGATCCAATCAAAGTCGTTCGATGGTGGGTGCCAAGATCCTTTAGGGATCTCTTGTAATTAGTTAGCCATTGGTTTTGTGCTGTCCCCTGGATAAAAAACAATATCAGTGAATGTGACACCTCTGCTTTTGTGTTGTAGGTTATTCATTGGAGAACATAAAGGGGATGTCGGAAACAGATATCACTATATTCTTGGTTAATCACTTTTTCGGGAAACTATCTATTACTTCAAAGTATGTCATAGATGGGCGATTGCAATCAAAAGGAAAACGAAAAGAAAATGCCTGCTCGTGTTCCAAAGAAGGCTGCAAAATGACTGGTGTGTTTGGAGATACAAGTATTGGTAAGTCATTAGCTAGCCTCTCGAAGAGAAGGGGAGCTTATGTTGTCACCCGGTGCTGGTGTCAGCAATGTGAAGGTTTTGGTGCTAAGGTACTCACTGATATTTGGTTTGAGGGTTTCTGTAGGGGTTAACTATTACTTCCCAGAGTCAGAATAAGTTATTTTTTTGGGAAAAAGTCTGTTTTAAACAAAACAACATTTTGGACTTAGATGTGTTATGTCAAATCTGTTGTTAAGGTTAGATGTTTTATGTCAAACTTATTGTTAAGGTTTTGGTGAAAGTGCTCATAGGCATGCCAAATCTAATATTAAGTACTAATACTGGTTGGGACCCACAAAAGACGTCACATATATACTTACCAACCTGAATTGTTTTTTTTCGGAAGATAGGCATCAATACACGCATTATAATTTGTACTAGGCTACCAATATTTGGAATTGATGCTTCAGTTGGGCTTATCATTATATCCTTGAGTAGCACTAAGGTGACAGTACCCAAATCAGATCAGAACCCAAAACGGATGACTTTTCACAAAAAGCAGTTTTAAATCAAATCTTGTGTTTACATACATTAATCAAACTTATGTAGTCTAATTAGAATGCGTAACAATATAATGGTTTGTCTATAGGCTATCAATTTACGAGTTTAATGACACTAGAATAAATATTTCAAAGTCTTGAATGTTGTAATGTTGTTAAGAAATGGCGCGTGCGAGGCCTATCATCGTGTTTTCACCTGAAATAAAAAATCCAGACTATAGAAATTCTTTTCTTCATACCAATTTCAAACATCAATCTAAGATTATGGTGTGCTTACAAAACATGCTCATTTGAAGTGAACAATATTAAAAAATTCAGTCCGTGATCCGTTTTGGGTACTGGCATTTGGAAAAACAGGAAGAGCTAATTGGTGATGTCAGAGCGTTCTAAAAATAGTTCATGTGAGCTTCGAGTGACAATTTTGCTTTATGTAAAACCCTTTGATATTTTTCTTTTGATATAACCATAAATGGATCTACGTCATCTTCTGAATTTTTAACAGGTGAACAAAATGCTTCTTTGGTGATCCGATTTGGGTACTGTCACCTTGGAGGATATTTCGACACAAAACTTGTATTTTCATACAATATGCACTTTCAACTTTTTATACCAAAGTCAAATATTAGGGTTTTGTGCACCCTTTGTATTTGTACTAAGGGACTGATATTTGTTCTTTTTTTTTTGTTTTTTTTTATTTATTTTTAGCTCATGATCACCTGATCCGTTTTCTGTCATCTGTCAACAATTTCTTCAAACGACTTCTTCTTAACCAGTGTTTTGAATTTAACTAAATTTGACTGGAAGCATCCCAAGGTGGGGATTCAAAATTGTACAAATGGTGGGGCTGACCACTCCAGGGAACTGAGGGGCGGGGCCAAAAGAGGGCAATTTGGCTATATTGCTATTGATCAACTAATTCTTCTCTGTAACTAAGCAACGGATATCACTCATATTGAACTGGTAGCATCCCTAGGTGGTAGGGATTCAAAATTGTACAACTGGTGGGGCTGATCCCCCAGGGGGCTTAGGGGTGGGGCCGAAAGAGGACAAATTTGCTATATTGCTATAAATGACTTTTCCTCTGGAACTAAGTGACGGATATCATTCATATTTGACTGGAAGCATCCCAACCCTAGGTGGTAGGGATTCAAAATTGTACAAGTGGTTGGGCTGACCCCCCCTGGGGCCTGAGGGGCAGGGTCAAATTGAGGAAATATAGCAAATTATTTAAAACCCTTTATGTAGGAATGAAAAGATTTGGTTTATTTTGGTCTGAAGCATCCTTTGGTACTGGGGAACCCATTTTATATGAACTTTGAGGCTGGCACCCAGGGGTCTGAGGGGTGGTGCCCAATAGGGGAAATATTTTAAATTCTTCAAAATCCTTTGGTTGAACTGCAGGATTCTGTCCAAATTTGGTCTGAATCACCCTTGGGTTAAGGGAAATTAATTTCATATAAACTGTGGGTCTGGGACCTCTGGGGCCTGAGGGGTGGTGCCCAATAGGGGAAATTTAGCTAATCTCTAAAATCTTTCTGTTGTTAGAATGACAGGAGATATCGGAGATACGGGTGCCCTATAGTAATCTCTGTCCGTCTGACCCTCCATCTGTCCGTCTGTCCATCCACAAATTCAGTTCCTGGCTGTTAACTTGAGTTTTTATTTACCGATTTGCATGTTTTTTTAATTTCATTTTTTTATGATTTTTTTATTACATAAATACATAAACACTACATACATGTACACACACAAACATCAATTCCAGTAGGCATGATTTGTAATCATTAATACACCATTACACCATCATTATCACATCTATGCATCATCATCATCATTCAATTTTGAGTCTGATCGAGGAAACAAAATGGCCGACAGGTGACCATCTTGGATTTTGACAATTGAAGTTTGTTATCGCTATTTCTTGAAAAGTACTGGAGGGATATTTCTCAAACTTCACATGTAGGATCCCCTTCGTCACTTGTTGTGCCAATTTGATATTGATTCTGATCAGGGAAACAAAATGGCTACAAGGCGGCCTTCTTGGATTTTGACAATTGAAGTTTGTTATCACTATTTCTTGAAAAGTACTGGAAGGATATTTCTCAAACTTCATATGAAGTTTCCCCTTGGTCCCTAGTTGTGCTCATTAGGGCCCCTTATAGGAGATAAGGGTGCCCTATAGTAATCACTCTGTCCGTCCGTCCATTTGCCGTCCATCCATCAGTCAACAAATTTTGTTCTTGGCTGATAAGTATTTATTGACAGATTTACTTGAAATTGGGTGAAGATGTTCAGATCACAAAAATACACACTGCCGTAAAAAATAAAGGTCAAAAGTCAAGGTTATTAGGTCCAAAGGTCAAAGTCAAATATTGTATCATTTTACTGATGAACATTTTGCTATGACATGATAAGCAAAATTGGTCAGAATTAAAAAAAGGAGTTAACTGACCAAAGGTCAAGGTCACTGGTTCAGAGGTCAAGGTCACCAGTTCAGAGGTCAAGGTCACTCTGTCAAAGGTCAAGGTCAAATTTTGTAACTTTTCACTGATGAACATTTTGTAAAGACATGATGAAGCAAAATTGGTCAGAATTAAACAAGGAGTCAATTGACAAGGTCACCTGGTCAGAGGCTATGGTCAAATTTTGTATCTTTTCACTGATGGACATTTTGTTGAGATATTATGAAGCAAAGTTGGTCATAATTAAACAAGGAGTCAGTTGACTAAAGGTCAAGGTTGCTGGGACAAAAGTCAACTTCACATTTAGTATCTTTTTACTGATGAATACTTTGTCATGACATGATGAAGCAAAATTGTTCAGAATTAAACAAGGAGTCAACTGACCAAAGATCAATGTCATGGTGTCAGAGGTCAAGGTCACTGGGCAGAGGCCAAGGTCACATTTTGTATGTTATCGCTGATTATCATTTTGTTAAGATATTATGAAGCAAAGTTGGTCAGATTTAACAAGAAGTCAACTTTCCAAAGATCAAGGTCACTGGGTCAAAGGTAAAGGACATTTGGTTCCAAAGGTCAAGGACAAAGTGGATCTCTGATTATGACCCTAGTTCTTAGTGGGGGAGTTATTTAGGATTTAAATAAAACAAATCAAATCTAACAAAAGAGTATTTTCATTTCCGTTAGCCCATCAAATATGGAGGTGGATGTGTATGATGTATATTGTGCTGCCTTGCCACACGACAGGGGCCTTGCTGACCTGCCAGTGTTCTAGTTTGAATTTGAGTCTGGTCCAGAAAACAAAATGGCTGACAGTTTAAGTTTAGTATTATGATTTCTAATTCACAAAAAGTTCTTCTTAGATATCTCTTAGATTTCATATGAAGGTTCCCCTTGTCTCAAACTTCATATGTAGGTTTCTCTTGGTCCCTAGTTGTGCCCATTTGATTTTGAGTCAGATCCCGAAAGCAAAATGGCAGACAGTTGACGTTAAGCTTTGCTATTTCTAATTCACAGAAAATTCTTCTGTAATATCTTTCGATTTCATATGTATGTTCTCCTTGTTATCAGATCAGTAAAGTAGAGAAAAGATCATACATAAAACAAATAAAGATCATTCAATGGTGGGCGCCAAGATCCCTCTTGGATCTCTTGTTACAGGTGAAATTTGTTATCAATATTTCTCAGAAAGTTCTTCTTAGATCGTTCTTGGACTTCATATATATGTAGGTTCCACTTGGTATCAAATGATTAAGAGGAAGAGGGGAAAGAAGGGAATTAGGTAGAGAAAAGATCAGTCTTTCATAGGACCAATAAAGATCATTCAATGGTTGGTGCCAAGATCCCTCTTGGATCTCTGTATTACTGTTGAGGTTTGCTTGGTTGTTATTGGAAAAAATCCATAATTTTAGTGAATTGTGGAGCTTGCTTAAGGTCATGGGAGTGTATTGATAAACGGAAATGGGAAGTACATACCTAGTTGAAAATCCAATGTAAGGAGACAATATCACAATTTCCGCAAATTCTAATGTTTAATATTAAACTGATGAATATTGTATGTTTATTATTGACAGAACAGTGTGTTCTCTCAATATTAAAGTATTTCAAAGCAATCCAGGCATTAATTCAGGTGGTTTTTTTTTATCAATGAGCCACATGTGTCCCTTTTTCTGTACTTCAGGAAAGTGGCTACCTATTTCACTACTGTGAAGTTTTTCAAGAAAGATAACTCTTACCTGCAATTACTATGTGTATATGGTTTTATTATAAAATGTCAATTTTTAATCCTTTATAGATAATTTATTTGACATAATTTCAGCATTTTTTAAATTGATATACATTAATGCAATACTAATATATGGCAGTATGATTTTTATTGACATTATTTTGCAAAAAATTGTCTTTCATTTTTTTTCCAAAAGTCACTCCTTTTTTACATAAATTTCCATTTATAATCCTTAAAATTATGACAACCTATATTTTTTTGGTGGCAGAAAGTTTTCTTTACTTCAAAGCAATATAACTACAAAATTTGAAGAAATTCTACTGAGAAATGGTGACACAATCCTATTACCTTAAAACTTACTCTACTGACAAAGCCGGACAAGCAAGACATATTTCGTCTTTGCGTATTACAGAGTTATCTTCTCTTGTGAGCAGGTATTGATTGTTACGTCATTTGTTTGTGAGAGTAACGTCATCAAATTTTGAGAAAACCACGTAATTTTCTCACACAAACCAATGACGTAACAATCAATACCAGTTGACAAGTGATGATAACTCTGCAATAAGCAAAGACGGAATACTGACAAAGCAGGATAAGTGAGACATACAATAATGTGTGATTCTTATAGAGAAAAATGTTACTCTTGCTATATTTTGTTCATTTTCAATTATAAATAATTGAAACTAAATTGGAATTACTGGTATAACCCTTTGATAACAGTTTCATTCAAGGAAAATGTTGAGCCTGATATACAGTATATGCATGAGAAGATGATACGTTTTGAGATGTTAGACTCAGGTGACTGTTGAGGCCCATGGGCCTCTTGTTTTATTTTATAGTGCATACAGGTAGAATTTATATTCTCGTTTTATATTTTTATTTAAGGAAATCCAGAAGTTTGGCATGGGAAAGTTGATGTTCTCCTGAACTACACAGATACTGTTCTTAAGGTAAACCATGAAGAACAGGAAGATGATCATGATGACAGTCCTGGAAAAACTGCTACAGAGGTCAAAAGACGCACATCAAGTGTCAGTGATAATGAGGAGATTTTTGCTGAGGTTATAGTCTTTTCATTTCTTCAGAAACAGTTACATCCTTACAGGAAACACCATTTGTATCCTTGTATAGCTGTGAACAGTAAAGATTTGTTTGTGTACCTTTATGACTCGGGGCATGATGTATTGCTTGCGAGTTCACCGGTGTCATTGTTTGATCCGGACATGGGCCGCTTTCGGTTGGCTACCATATTTTTATCATGGTTGGTGGTAAATCATAAATGTTTCAGCAATGGCCTTTCCTCTAAGTTAACAAGCAAAAATGCAGGATTTTTTATGTGCAAGAAAATAGATATTTTTGAGGAAGGTCTGCAGTGTGGTCATGTAGTCTCCCCAGTCAAGACAGCCAGGATTTATAGAAGGGTGAGAGATCGTTGCGAAGATGTTGAAGATCTTAATGATAAAAGGATACATCTTATTTCATGTAAAAAATTTAAGAGTTAAAATGTGGACGATTCAAGGAAAAGCAGAATCACAGTTACACCAATTGCAGATTTCGTAATCTTTGTTGTAGCGTTGGTAGATTTGAATCCTAATTATATCAGTGTGATTGTAATCCATTTCCTAGTGACTAATCTGGCACTGTGTATTGGATTGCTGTGGTTGTTTTCATTTTGAATTACCAACATCTATCTAAGGCTTATAAACTTAATAGTTATCAGGCATTTATGATACATAAATTTATACCGTAACAATCATCTTTTGATGGATATTTCAACAGCGCTTTAAATCTTAGTTTGTTAGCTTACATAGAAACCTACCTGAAGAGCAAGTGAGCTAATGTCATCATGCTTAATAGGGCTATCTTGGTATTGATTTCATTTTTAGCCCACCATCATCAGGTGGTTGGCTATTCAAATCGCTCTTTGTCCCTGGTCCTTCGTCTATTGTCACCGTCCATCCTTAAATAATCCTTGTTATCGGTATTTCTCAGGGAGAACTGGAGGGATATTTCTCAAACTTCACTTATATTTTCCCTTTGGTCCCTTGTTGTGCCCATTCAATTTTGAGTCTGATTGGAAAAACAAAATGGCCGACAGGTGGCCATCTTGGATTTTAACAGTTTAAGTTTGTTATCGCTATTTCTTGAAAAGTACTGGAGGGATATTTCTTAAACTTCACATGTAGGTTCCCCTTGATCCGATAGTTGTGCCTACTTAATTTTGATTGGGAAAACAAAAGGACACTGAAGGACCTTTTGACCTTTTAACTGCTTTGATTGAATACATGTACTTAATATGTAATTTGCATAGTGAAATCACCATTTCGACCAAATTTGGTGTAAAGCATCCTTTGGGGAAAGGTATTAGACTGCTGAAACTTCAAGTGTTAACGCAATATATGATGTCATCCCTACCACCCAATCACTTGAAAGAAGTAAGCTCTTTTCCGATTGGCCAATAGAGCTGACGCGTATGACGCGTACAGGCATGTACACTAAGTTTTCAGGAACACGTGTGTTTGTCGTTGTGTAACAGAAGCAGCCCATTCTGAAACGGAGTGAGTTTTACAAATATAAAAAAGCAATAAATCAGAGTGATGTGTGTTTTTATTTCATCCCCTCTTAACTTTTACATATCCACAATGTCTGAAATCATGGGATAAGTAAATATTTGGTATGTCAATAAGTGCATCAACTATGGCAAATTCTGTAAATTGTTCAGTGAGTCCTGGTTTACACTTCAAGCGATGTTGCATAGCATGGAAGACGCATTCGGCTACATTATATAAAGGAGAATATGGAGGTTGATATATAAGAGATAAACCTTGTTGGTCGAGTAGGTTTTGAAGAAGTCTATCCCCGACAGGATGATGGTGCAATGGGCAGTTATCCATTATTACGGATTATTATAAATTATTATAATACAGACATAGGACACACACGCAACAAAAACTTTCCTGGTATTCATTCATCTGTACGAACCTAAGCGTTTCAGATCGCATGGATATGGTACAGATTGTAAAAAATGTTTAATGCCTGTCCTGTATCAAAGCCAATTCAAACGTGTCATAATTCACGACAACAAAATGATAACTGATTATGATACGGACTTGGGGAGACACACGCGTCAATGAACTTTCTTGGTATTCGTTACTCTGTATGATTCTACACGTTTCATTTTATCATGAATATGTACAACAGATATGTCAAAATGCTTACTACATGTCCTGCATCAATGCCGAACCAGATGTTATTAAGAACGTGTCAATAATAACGACAAAAAATGATCACTTATGATAACACGGACTTAGGGAGACACGAGGATCAATAAACTTCAATGTATTTTTTAATAGGAATGAGACTAACATTTCGGTCACATGGATATAGTAAGGTTGTACATGTATTGTAATAAACATATCCAATCAAAATGCCAAATAATGCCAAATAACGTTACTGATGACGAGTCGTTATTATGACAGTGGTCATTATTATATAATACAGACATAGGACACACACGCAACAAAAACTTTCCTGGTATTCATTAATCTGTACGAACCTAAGCGTATCAGATCGCATGGATGTGGTACAGATTGTAAAAAATGTTTAATACCTGTCCTGCATCAATGCCAATTCAAACGTGTCATTATTCACGACAACAAAATGATAACTTATTCTGATACGGACTTAGGGAGACATACGCATCAATGAACTTTCCCGGTATTCGTTACTCTGTACGATGCTGCAAGTTTCATTTTATCATGATCATGTACAACAGATATGTCAAAATGCTTACTACATGTCCTGCATCAATGCCAAACCAAATGTTATTAAGAACGTGTCATTATTCACAACATGATTATTCATGGTTATGAACTTTCATGATTATTCATGTTTATGAATTTTCATGATAATTCATGGTATGAATTTTCATGATTATTCATGGTTATGAATAATCATGATTATTCATGGTATGAATATTCATGATTATTCATGGTTATGAATATTCATGATTATTCATGGTTATGAATATTCATGATTATTCATGGTTGATGCAGGTTTTATATAATCTACCTGGTTATTCATGGTTCTATTGATGAATAACCATAAATAAACAAGGTTATTCAGGTATTACTGATGAATAACGTTGAATAATTCCTGGTCATTTCGGTAGGGCACCTTCAACTTTCGTATACATTTTTCCAGTGCCTTTTCATTTTTAGCTCACCTTGCCATGCCGTGGCGTCCGTCGTCCGTCCGTCGTCTGTACGTCAACCGACTGCTTTAACCGACATCTTCTTAACCACCTATTGGAATTTAACTAAATTTGACTGGAAGCATCCCTAGGTGGTGGGGATTCAAAATTGTACAAATGGTGGGGCTGACCCCCCAGGGGACTGAGGGGCAGGGCCAAAAGGGAGCAATTTGGCTATATTGCTATAAACGACTTCTTCTGTAGAACTATGCCATGGATATCAATCATATTTGGTCGGAAGCATTCATGGGAGGCAAGGATTCAAAATTGTACAACTGGTGTGGCTGACCCCCCGCGCTAAGGAGTGGGGTCAAAAAAAGTTTATTACTTGGTTGAGATCCCCACTGTATATCCATATATACAATTGCTGAGTATAAAGATAAGAATGCACATTTGCTTCCAGGATGGCCCTAGGGTCTAGCCCCACCCTTGGAGACATAGTCCCTGGGCCATAACTTTAAAACGGTTGAGATCCCCACCCCAAAACTATGTATACAAATGCTGGGCATACAGAGACAAATGTAGTCATGATATTATAATTGATCCTGGGGTCTGGTCACAACCCTATAGGGACCTAATTTCTGGGTCACAGCTTGGAAACAGTTGAGATCCCCACCCCATAACCATACATCAAATTGCTAGGCATGAAAAATCTAATACAGATATGCTACATATTCCCTTGGATCTCATTTAGAGAATATTTTGTCATAATTGCTTAAATATCCAGGTGAGCGATACAGGCCTTGTGGGCCTCTTGTTCTCAAAAGCATTCATATCTTAAAAAGGTAAGTAAAAGCATGTCATCTGCTAATTATAATACTTAAATGTTAGTTTTATTTGGTAATATTTTGGTGTTTTTCTTTCTTAAAAACCATCAGTATTAGCCAAAACCAACTCTGTAAACACTTGCTATGGTCGAACCACATTAGTTAGTTGGTAAAGTACTGAATGATGCGATCCGAGAGATATCGAAAGGAAGTCCCAGTAAATAGTGACATTGATCACTATTTAGTTTGACAGTTCAACAGTGCATATATAACTATTTAAGATGGAACATGCGTTTCTTCTAGTATAAAAGGCTTCGGAAGTCAGACGGCCTTGAAAATAAGCCGCACATGCCTTGCAGTCTAAATGACTTTGAAAATATATAAGACAGCCTTGAAAATAAGCCTGCTTCGATTTAGCTAAGTCTGGGATTCCTTACTAAAAAACGCAAGTAAGTCTCGACTTATTTTCCGAGATTTTATGGTAGTACACATGGAATCCCTTAGTCGGAAATATTATTCTGGATCACGACGATTAAATATTTTCAGTTAAACAAAACCAGAATACCAAAACATTAACAAAACCTTCATTCGACCTCTTGTAGAATTTAGGATCGGTTAAGGCGAAGGAAACTTACAGAATATGTGTTGTAACGGTTATGTGCAATATCATTAACCCCTTAGAGGACCTCAATGTAAAGGATTCCAATATTCTCAATAAAGCATTGCACCAATATATATATATTACATATATTTTTGTATTCATATTAGTAGGCAAGCATTTCCTACGTCTTTCCTGTTGATTAGTGCAACTTACTACCATTCATAATATTGTTTGTATTGTATGAATTAATCTTGTGAGATGTATTACTACAACTGAAATCATTGTATGGTTGCGCTGTTTCTTCAAGTTAATTATTATATTGTATGTTGTGTATTTCACACCACTGTATGACTATGTTGTATGACTTCGTGCAACGGGTTCTACTCAATGTATGATTGTATTGTAAGACTTATGTAACAGTAATACTGTCTATAATAATGCTGTATAATTTATAGTGCGATGCTTGTAATACTGTTNTTATACTGTCTATCATCATAATTATCACCGTATAATGACTGTAATAGTACCTATTATATCATTGTGTTGTGTTTATAGTACTTTATGGTATGATGCGTGTACTATTATTATTCTGTTATGTGTGTGTCTGTCCATGTGCATGTGTGAGTCACTATGTCAGGGTGTGACCATGATTGTGAATGCATTTTCTTCTCTTTTCAATAGTGTTTTGTTCGTTATTTCTGTAACTCTTCGGTTTTGGAGGAAATAAAGGAAATAATAATAATAATAATAATAATAATAAGGAGGTTTGGCCGACGGCTTATTAATCATTTCAGATAACGATAACGGTGTATGCGATAACGAAAGATTTAAACGACTTACAGCAGATATTTTGTTTAATAGTATGATTGCATTGTAACAGTGTAACTTATGCAAAGTATAGACACACAAGTCAACAAAGCGTATTTCAACTCATTTTCATTATATATATATATAACATAGGTAATTGAGTTTCCTATTTTGTATTGATATTCAAATGAAATGTTCAATTAATAATACAGTTCAGAGCATTTATAATGTAGATATTCGTCTAGTATAATTAGAATGGTTGATTATTAATTATTGGGTGGGGCCTGATAGTTATAGTTATGCTCAGTGGTGTTTGTATTATTAGTGGTTGGTTGTATCAATAGGGTTTGCCACAACACTTTCACCACCATAGACCATAATGGACTCGTCTAAATCCATGCATGGAAGAGTTTACTGAAGTTACATACAGCTGAAAGGGTCAAAAAAAGAAATACCTGATCATGTAGTAGCTTCTTTGGAAGAAAGAGAATTCGTATTTTTTTTTCCACATAAACACGAAAAATGTATTTTATAAAATATTTGATGCAGATATGTACATAGATACAGGATAATCAGTGAAAGTAATCAATTACAAATGAAAATAAATCAAAAGAGTATACCGTAAATATGAACAAAGTTCAGATTTTAATGATGATTCTTTAAAAGGACAAGCTAAATACGACCAGGTTTTCCGGAAGGGTAAGCGTCTTTTGCCACATTGACGAAATCTGCCACGTATATCTATGACGATTTCAAGTAGTACCACGTCATCATATCGAGAACCGGGGACGTGACAACAACCCAACAGCACAAGTATGAGCATAATAACAAATAACAACCCTCATATAACTCTAAGAAATAGATATACCCACAAATCGGGAGTAAACTTGTCCTTAGTGTTCATCGACCGGCTCTAAGTAAACCCCGTGGTTTGAGTGTGTCCGTCAGCAGTCGATATGTATCACGGAAGTCATGATATTGGGTGCAAACTATTGTATACCGAATCACCGCGACATGTACACATCGTGAGATGCAGGGATGTTACTATCAAGAAAGAGAAATTTCACAGTCGGAAAATCGAAATACGAGGTTATGAGACACAAACTTTAGAAGCATGATGCAGAAAGCCAAACAAAGTTAACATTTTACTGTACCACGTGACCTTTTTCATTTAGATCTAAACAGTGGCACGTAAAATAAATGATGAGTTTACATGTCTAGAGTGTTCTGAAATATCTGTAAAGTTAGAGAAAACGGGACACATGTCTTTACAAACCTTTATAATATGACAAATTAACATGATTTTTGAATACACCAAAACTATTCAGTGATAAGTTTGTAAGAATACATTTCTGCTTCAAGGTTATACACTATGTACTTTAACGTTATCTACGCCCTAATCTATTACTAAAATTCGTAGCACGATAACCATCTTATTTATTGAATATTCCTGTGACATACATTTTACTTATGAAGCTTGTATTATGATATTTGTGACGTTTAATAAGATACAGTAATGAAATGCTTAATAAAAGATTTTACATGAGTGTTCATGTCATATTGAATTTATTAAACTTGTTCAATAATTTGATATGAAAGCAGACACGAGCCTTTGATATGACTCGAGCCTTGAGGCGAGTGCCATAACAAAATTATTGAACGAGTTCAATTAATTCAATATGACATGGACACGAATCTTTTCTTGATTTGAAAAAACCCCTTCAAACACAATTATGTGTTATCAGCTGTCTCAAAACCAAAGTACTCCGATTGTAGTCTTGTCGTTTCGCGCAATGCAAAGTAGTTCCTGAGTTTTGTTTTATTTATATAGTTTGAAATGCAATGAAAATAATAATGAAAAAAACAATATTTTGAATTCATTTAATAGTAAAAACATTCAAATTTATCAGAAAAAAATGCAGTTAAATAAAAGTAGTAACTGTAGTGGCATGGTGATATGTTCCAAAGGGTTTGACCAATCGCAGCACCTTTTGGTTTTATTACACGTGTGTATTATCATATTTATGACATGGACGTATGACATAGTAACATGGGTTAGTTATGCGATAAATAAGACTTTTAAAGGGGCCGCGGTAGCTAGGTGGTTAAGGCGTCTGACATTCTGCTACCACTAGCCCTCCACCACTTGGTCGCGGGTTCGAGACCTACGTGGGGCAGTCGCCAGGTACTGGCCGTAGGTCAGTGGTTTTTCTCCTGGAACTCTTGCTTTCTTTCACCACAAAAACCTGGCACGCCCTTAAATGACCATAGCTGTTAATAGGACGTAAAACACAAACAAACTAAACCAAACCAAAACTAGACTTTTAAACTATATCATGACGTCACAAAAAAAGACAATAGATGTAGAGCCAAGATTATAAAATTTTTGGAGGTGACGTGCCTTTTTCATCCAGATAAATTTTATGTAACATTTTTAAAAACAAATTCAGAAGATCTTTATAGTGATACTTTGGCTAGAAAGAAAGAAAAAAATCTGAAAATTTTCATAAACTCATATATATTAGACACTCATATAAGAACTTTTGTACAAATAAGCAAGTATGACCAGTACCTTCTATAAAATTTTGATCGTCCGACAACATTTCCATTTTATCATGTTTTAAACGTGCAGACATTGGCTATTAGTTAAACGAGCTTGACGACGATATATACCGCATAGCGGGTTATTTACGCGTGCTTAAATCTATGCGATTTTGACCTAAAATTAGAAAAGTAAATTTACACGGATTGTAATTTCGCGATTTAGAAATATGATGGAACTAAATTTTCGTAGTGTTTTAGCAAAGTAAAGTAAAGTAGAGGAGAATACACCATTTTGTCACGATTTGGTGCAAGCAACACGCTAAAAAACGTCATGAGGATATTCTTCTGGTAGTCATTTGTTTTGCGCATAGTCCCGATTCACAAAAGATAGACAAGTAAAATCAAAACTACATATTGTATATTTTTGGGAAAATTCGCAAATATATATCTGAGCAAATATTAACCTACGTATAAATATCCCGATTTGCACTATGTATACACTAGAGAAATATAAACCTACGTATAAATTTCCCGATTTGCAGTATGTATACAGTCTATACACTAGAGAAATATTGGTGTCCAGGAGTTCTGTACCATTGCAAAACACTGGAAGAATGCATAGGAAAGCGATTTTGCCGGCAAAAAGGACCAAAGTGGAAAACTTTTTTTTTTTGAAACTGCTGAGAGAAAATGTATCAGTATGTGTTTTGGTATTTTATTGGATAGGTTAGACATCCTCTTCTCTTATTTTGGGGTAAAACGATATAAAAGAAAATTAAGGTAAAGTAAACAGTTTTAACTACAGTGAAAGCAAAGAACATGTAGCAATCAAAATCATAATATTATACTTTTTACAATACTAATTGTCTATAAACATATGTTCCTATAGGGAACGCAATGATATTAATGAACTTGTAAGTCACTCTTATCCAAGCTTTCGGGCTTAGCCCTTCGTCAGGGATTAAATGTCACTCGACCTCTTTGTCACATCCATCTTGACAAACATGTTGAGTAACTATGACGTTGATGTTGATGACGTCATAACACTGTTATCATGACATCAACACAACACAATGACGTCATCAAACCATGACCTCACAAATTGTGACGTGATCATCATCATTCGGTATTGATACCATTGGGGAAAGCAGTGTTGAGTTTGTTAACCCAAAATCCCTCAATCACAAGCCTTGCTACATTGGATTCCTCCTTAACCCTCTCTAGTACGCACACCCGCAAGCCCGATTGAGGGATTTTGGATTAACAAACTAGTGACATTTAATCCCTGACGAAGGGCTAAGCCCAAAAGCATGGAAAAGAGTGACTTACAAGTTCTTTATACAATAGTTAAGCAAAAACTTGTCAACGCATTGCAGTAATACAATTGATATACATATTACAAGGATTAAAATTGAGTACAGACAAATTATACATGCTGCATATACTATTCCAAGGATATGAATACGAAAACACTTGTTGTGTGTCGTACATTTTCTACATAATTATTCTATGTAAGCCCAACTGGATATTTGTAGCATATTGTCATAATAAAATAGACGCGTTTTCAAGAACATTTCGCCATTTTTCTATAGAAAAAAGATCCATTTGACCAAGCGATGAAGTACTGTTCAGTACGAATTGTCACTGTCACGGGAACGAAATATAATTGTTCTCACAGTTATATGCATATTAAAAAATACGAACTCAAATACTAATATGGCTAGTATGATGACAGTTGAGCTGTTCTGAGTTTAGTAAGTACATGGTATACGGAGAAAATAAGGATGGGTGCTAAGTTGGGCCTTCTGGAGGCTATCACCGATGAGATTCATTTTTTGTATATACATACCTTGGGGTTAGGCAAACATAATATAATATAAAATTTATAAAAGGTGGTTTCGAACCCTGGACGTCGGGTTGTTATACTATCGCTCTAACCAACTGTTCTACAGTTATAGCCAAACGGAAGTTAAGGGGAGGTTACTCAGTTTATGACAGATACAGTACAGTGCAATGGGTCGGACAGAAATCCTTAAGAGCGCTTTTGGAAACAATGTTAAGAAAAAAATGAAGAGTGCACGATACATTCAGACTTATTAATAAGTGAATCTAAGGCGTTGTAAAGAACAAAAATTTAAACTAAAAAATGTGTATAAGGCAATCATGCCCATATCCGATGCAAATTTGTGTCCTTGTTACAAATAGTAACAGTAACATTGGCCTTGACATTGGAACACTAAAAAATTAACCTTTGTATAAAGATAAAAATCAGTTAAAACGAGATGTCTCTGATTCGGTTCGCAACTATATACTATAAATAGTAACCATGAAATTTGCGTTGAGTTTTGTAATCCGTAAAACGATTCTGTCGAGGTACTCGCAAACTTATATTTTTTTGTTAAGTTACATAAAAATGCTGTAAGACATGACGTCGCCAGAGCGATCACACAATGTCTCGGAATATGACGTGGTAATACGATACATGTACTTTATATAAAAGCGGGACACCAAAATGTTTGTTTCCATAACCTTACACGCACATCATTCTTGTGTAGGTAATATATCACTAGATAATATAAGTGTACCCCAATATATCTTACACGGACATCGCTCTTGTGGAAGAAGCAAAACATCATTTGATTACATGTTTCTATGAATACCTTGATATTCTTGTTGCATTGTACATGTAGTAAGTCTGTTTTTGTTTCCTCGCAAATTCTTTGTTTTCTACAGTGTACATCGCTGTGAAATTCAACGCATATTCATTTTGTTAACTGCTTTGTCATTTAGCCACATCTGAACATCGTTTCAAAACAGGGCCTATAACCTCGGAGTGGTTCAGTCATTAATATTGATGCATAAAATTTTAAACTGACGAAAATCTAACCGCAAGTAATTAATGATAGAGAAAATAAAACAATTGCATCATAAAACAAGTATCAGAATTATACAAATTTAACACAGGTTTCGTCGGTATCTGTGCTGTAGGAAGTACTGATTGGTTGTCTTTCCTTGCTACTGTCATCAATTAATTCCTCAGTCTGCATATTACGCAATGGAATAATGACTGAACTATGACTCTGCTGTAATGATAATCTTTGCATATTATCAGCACTTCCGCTCGAGTTATCTTCATTTGACTTGAGGACAGTTTCCTCACTGGAATAACCATCATCAAACTGTGGTGGGTTTTCTTCACTGCGCTCGATATCATTCTTCTAAAATAAGAACAAAACAGCTTCAAAGTACATTTATGAATATAAACAAATATTTTAGAAATATCAAAGGCATCAATATCAATAAAAAATGTAGGTGTAGGAAATAATTATAGAAATCGAATTTACCAATATTCTTAACCTCATTTCATAAACAGACTGTTACAGCCGTATTTGCAAGAACACGAATTTTCTAGGGTAACCATGATCGGAGACCATTCGGGAATTTTCGTAATATTATAAATTTGACGCACCGATATTATTGGTTACCCACGATGGGAACAGAATGACGGAAAGTCCCGATTAGTTTTCAATTAGAAAAAAATGACTTGTACAAATTCTTGTTGTAACTACTTTGAAACATTATTTTATCTGAAGGCTATTTCGATGAAAAAGAAAAAAACACACTTATATCAGTGTGGTGTACATTGTTGGTGATTGCCAATGTACATAAATACACTGTAGCTATATACCTTATGCGGAGTAACTTTTGCAGTAGCGTAATTGTCATTGTCACGTTTTCAGAAAATGAAGAATCTTTAAATACAGTATGTCCGTGTAATGCTCTGATAAAAAGAAGACATACATTCAAAACAGCGCAAAAGGATTAAAAAAAAATGTACGCCACGTATTCAAGAAACGCAATCAACAACATTAGCAATTATACTGTTAAAGATAAAATACTCACGTTCTCGATATGGTGTCGCTGACTTTTCCTACAGCAAAATATACACAAGAACAGCAGGGAACCAGTACCAATAATCAACAAGACTACCACTGGAATCAGGTAATCTTTTGTTATCAAAACACACTCCTTCCCTTGGAAGCTAGGAAAGGAGATACCAGGACAATTACGAACACATTTTTCATTGTTATAGTTGTAGAAAGCCTGTTTGGTATCACATTTTTCACTAGCGATGCACATTTTGTTTTCAGTCCATTCTAATAGCCCTTCCCTGCAGGATTGAACACATTTCGCTTCGGTCGAGTTGTCTCTCAATGGATGAGTATCTGGGCATCTTGTAACACATGTGTGTTCAGACTCTAATTGTAATTTCTTGCCAGAACATGTGTAAGAACACTTCTTCTCATCTCCAAATGTTCCCTTCGGACATCTTTTGTAGCAAACCGTTCCCTGAGGTGAGGTTAGTTCGTACTTATACTCTGTGGGACAATATCGACCATCGATACAAGTATTATTTATAATTATTGTTCCTGCTGGACATTTTTCTACACATGACGTATTAAAACGAATAAACGGATCTAGACAATGATCTGCACAAACTTGTCCTTCATTTTTCTGAGTAGTGAATTTCAAAGATTCAGGACATGATTTTCTGCAATATTTATTCGCAAGAAATGGTACACTCTCTGGACAGCGATAGTAACATGTTGTATTATGAATTACTGAACTATCCGAACACCGATTTAAACAACGCCCCGTATAATTCTCTATGAAACGGTCTGTGTTGGGACATTTGTCACGACAAATCCTTGAGAAAGAGTATGGCCTTGACGATGGACAAGATGAAACACATCGGTCTTCGTCTATGTATTGAAAATCAGTGCATTTGTGCACACAACGGAACGCGATATGTTTCTTATTAGTAGTGAATTGAGCACGATACATACCCTTTTCAGGACAAGTGTTTAAACAAGATCGATTTCTCCAAAAGGATGTCAAATCCTCTGGACATTGATCAAAACAATGTTTTCTCCATATGAATGTATTTCCTGGGCATTCACGTACGCACTCGTAATTAAACGAGCCACTTTGGTCTTCCTTTTTGTAAGTGAAAGGATCAGAGTCAGGGCATTGTGTTAGACATTCAGTCTTAAATCGTGAAGTTCCTTCGGGACAATCTCGCATGCATTTGTATTGATAAGTTACCTGTGTTTTATCACAGTTTGAAACGCATTCATAGTTATATGCGTCGCGATATGCAGAAGCCGATGTATTGTATTGATGGGAAGACGGACACTTCGCTACACAACTCTGAGCGTTTCGGTCAAAGGCAAAATATTTCGGACATTTTTGCACGCAAGTTTGGTCTAAATTATATAAGAACGGGAAAACATGACTACAATGTTTGACACAATTATAATAATCTGAGTAAGGATGTGTGGAAGGACACTTGGTATAACATGTTCCATTTAATTTGTATTTTGCATTTTCTGGACATGTAAGGACACACGTTGCGTTATATATATCATAATATCTTGGACAAAGGTTCACACAGTTGCCATCGGATAGCAAACTGTGCGATGCTGGGCAATGATCGATGCATGTATTGTTGTGTTTAAACAGTCCACTTGGACATTTTCGCAAGCATGAACCATTAACTCCAAAAAGGCCATCAGGACACTTGGATAAACAAAACCCTTCATGCAAGAACATGTACAGAATCGGACACTCGTCGACACAAGTGTTATTGACACCGTAGTGCCCGCGGGGACAGTAGGGAACACATGTTCCATTAAACAGATACATACGCTGGTACGAACTAGAGGATTCATTCCAATTATAACAGCTTTCAACGCAATGAGTTGCGTATGTGACAAATGAGAAATTAAATGGATCGAATTTCATACGGTATGCGTGAAGAGGATGTGAATTAGGACATGACATAACACAGGATCCGTTGAAAATATACATTTGGGGTGCGCATTTTCTTACGCAAGTGTTACCATCGATAAAGGTGTCATCAGGACACGTCGGAAGACAGACTGGTATTTTGTGGGAAGGTAGTCTTTCTGTAAGAACATATATGAATGGATCTGTTTCTGGACATTCCTGAACACACGTTTGGTTCCAAAGAAAATCAAGTCCTCGGGGACATCCGACATCGCAATTATCGCCCCGTACCACTGTAAAAGCTGGACAAGCCTTAAGACAGAAAGTGGTATTCCACACGTGAAAGGAAAACGGTGCAACTAATGGGCATTTATCAAAACACGTGTTATTATAGATGTTTGAGTTGTCTGAACAGTTTTTTACGCACGTGCCATCATGTTTCGAAAGTCTGTTGGAACAAAATGTGACACATCTACCATGTTCATTGTACGGTTTGTCTTTTGGACATTCCATTACACACGAATCGTTTAAAATCAATGGAAACGACATTGAACAGGTATGCACGCAGGAGAACTCTTCATTAAGTGTGTTTGCGGGACATCGAAACAAACATTGATAATCGTAACAAAACGGTCTTTCAGAGGAACACATACCTTTTTTACATTTTAGATTCGGTACTTTATCTCTTTCCACACTTGGTAATTCATAGTAAGAACTAGAACACGTTGAGTAGCTGTTAGCTGTTAATCCGCGAGGACAAACTCCCAGACACAGATTATGAAATCTAAACGGGGCGAATGGCGGACAAACCTTTGTGCAGTTTGGAGAAAATTCAAGTTGAAAATGATCCTGGCATTCAGCCAGTGTTGATCCATTGTAATCAAACAGTAGACTCTCTGTGGAAACCACGGCACCGATCTACAAACAAAATAAGAAAAGATGCACCTCTTAGTGAGTGGATGCATAAAAAATGCAAAAATAGGTCATTGCTCTCAATGTCTACGCTGAGGATCGAACCCGAGACCTCTGGTGAGCGAGAGAGATTCTCCCTCCCGGAACTGGAAGGAAGTACCTAGTCGTCAATAGTTGTCCAGGAGTTATAGCGATTTTTGTTTAGCTGAGCATGATTGTCAATATTTCCGGGTCTCTTCGTGTGCGCCAATGTAACAGAGGTATTTTTTTCAATTTTCGAACGTTGGTAATCATCGTTACTAGGCTTACTCTCTACCTGATAAGCTAAAAAGAAAGTCTCCCTACCCGAGTCGGAAAGAAGCAGCTAGTATTTTGTACCAGGGTACCACTAAGTAGTATTGTTATTAGATTATTTTATAGGTTTTTGAAAATGCGGTCCGTGCTAATACGTGTGATTGGAATGAATTATAGCTTTTGAAACTGATCACTGTAAGATACTAACCTTGTTTGTTGCTTACATTTTGCATGCATCGCAATTTGATTGTTGATATGATTTTTTTCAAATTTACAACAATCATGAAACAAGTAATTTTAATTTACATGTAGCACTCCCATTAGCCCGGGCGTTGGCGTGCAGGGGTCTTAATGTGGAAGAAAGCCTGAGTTCCCATAGATCACTCGGCTGTTGGGCAGCTGACCCGAAACCTTTTCATGACAGATCGGACAATTCAACCCCAACAGCTTTTGTAGAAACCGTGTGCCTTATCTACTGCCTCACCTGACCACCCATTGATTGTTATCCAAAAAACCCAAATATGAATTATTAGCCTTAAGCTACATGTAGGATGCCCCATACAGGCTTATGAAGAACAAAGATATTTCCAATAGGGTCCTTGATTAAAAATGATGGCTTCCAGTATATTAGGGAAAAGTGGTATTGATGTAACATGAAAATGAAATTATTTGAATACTATTATGAGGATTAGCACAGTTAAAGCATTGGACTGAATGTAAAATAGACTTATAGTAATACATCACATTTTTTAATACGAGCTTACATCATATTATTTCGTAAGCTGGAGGTAGATTCTCAAATATCAGTAAATTTTGTTTAGATCTTGGTAAGTGTATGCCCATCGTTAGAAACGTGTTTACCCTAATGCAATAAAATGTCATCAGTTATCTTTTATATCTTGTGGTATCCACTTCAATGATACAATATAATTATGATTTTCTGAAATTATTTGATAGGTTTGTGATGAGTTTGTTTATTTGGGGTCAACATAGTCGATATTACGGCGTTATAACCTTCCTGCTGTCATTGTAATAGCTATTTCTCATTTCTAGAATTATTTGTCTCTTCAGCTTGATGGGATAGCGGTATTCTAGATGTGTTGAACATGGAATTATTCCAAATATCGAAATTTTCTATATCGTTAATGCTGATTTTTTTAAAATCTAGAACAATATATACGATTTAGATACTAAGCAAGTGTTACATTGTATATACAAAACAATAATAATATCATGATATGTTATTTGAGCTATTATGTTCAAAAAAGCTATTACCTTTATCATACACGTTTCCTGTCATAAAAACAAAGACATTTGACCATGAAGGAAGTTTGAACCGTCGGTATAAAATATTGTAAATTAGTCCTTTTTTATTGGATTGGTTGTAGTTTTGGTCCGAAATGTTGAGAAAACTACTTTTAACCACTGTAAACCATTCATTGCAGTGTTAATCACGGTTATTATCCCTTTATTTTCAAAGTTTAAAGCAAGCTTTTATTGACCACACAGATTTCGAAAGGTTTTATAGAATTAACTCATTTTACTAGAAATTTAAATTAATTTTAGTTTTGATATAAACTTGTTAACTTTTCAATTCTTGATTCGATTTTTTTAATAACCATCAAATGTTAATTTAGAAAAAACACTATGAAGGACACATTTGATAATGTTGATCGAAAATCAATTGAAAAAAACCCCCAAAATCAATTTACTGAAAGCACCGTCCGAGTGGCTATAAATACACGAACATATCTTGAAAACTATTGACAAGAATATATATAATTATTATCTTATTTGTGAACAACTTCAATTTATGTAAAAATGATAAAACGGTGAATAAGGATAAATGTTACAAGAAAACGTTAAAATGAGCTTCGAATAATAAGTAAATATTTTTCAAGAAATATACTAATCATACAAGTATGATAATGACTGATACAGAAAATGTATTACCTTACTGAAAATGGAAAATACTAGTTTAGAAAATGACTTAATTAAATATATGATATCGACAATGATATTGAATTATGTTTACTTCATTGCACTCTGAACCTTAAATATAGGGTGAAACTTTGTAAATAACACTTGATGTATCTTTAAAATCATATGCGGAAATTACTAAATCTTATATTTTATTGAAAATCCGACGTTATGAAGATTCATTAACACCTTATGTTATTAGATCCATTGAGTGTATTTACTTAGGTACACATGTTTACGTTTTCATTTTCCTATCATCAGGATATTGGACACTGTGGTTTTATGTAATAGAGATATTAAACTCGCCTTTTAGCAGTGTAGAGATGTCGTCGTTGGAGTGAGTAATAGGTGTTTCTAGATGGAAACTCGAATATCCATGTGCGTGCTAAGTTGCATTGAATATCACTGATGCAGAACATAAACATGTGACGTAACTGCATGTGTTAAATTTCACTATACACATACGGGTATTGAAATGTGTCCCAGATGTACCCATAAACATATATGTGTACACATTATAGCTTAAAAAATAACACGTTTCATGGTGTATGATCAGCTGCAATGATAAAGACATGGTTCATTTTAGTATATTTACATTTACCCCCGCGCCGTCCCATTACAACAGTGTATATAATTACAACTGCCTGTTTCAGGTGTAGGAATATGTAAACAAACAAAATGGCCGCCTGAAATGTATTTTGTGGCAGGGCAAATGGTTTTTGTAGGAATATGTCTTAAAAAAGAAAAATATGTAAATATAGAAAATACCTGGTTGTCTGGATGTAATTATTGTTGATATAATTACATCCAGACAACCAGTTATTGTTTAAGTAATACATAATAAATGACAAATATGTATAATTGATAGCTTGTGATTACATCCTTCTGTCTGAAAAAGGAAACAAAAACAAAATAAAATTTAGTCGGAAAGATAACATCGAATCCCCAAAATACAAAATACTATGTATCTTACCACGGAATTAGATTAGAATCTAAGTCCGTGATCTTACAAAGCAGACGCCAGCCTTACAACTTGAAACAAATATTGATATGTTTTAAGCTTGATAGTTCTTCTGTAACACCAGAAGTATCCAACAGAAAGACACCAAGGTGTGGTACACTCATATGGTTATCGTCGGTGTACATTTGTTTACCTGAATAAATGCATGCACAGACACACAAACAATTAGTATTAGAACCTTCGTCGCCATCTTTGTCCGGTTGTGTGTCCTCAACAAATGACATCATCTACTTTACTTTTAGAAAGCGGTTTTTTCACTTTTAATTTGAAATTTTACTTCCTTTTTCCTGTATAGATGTCAACGTCCCACTGGGTAAATATTTCTGTATCCTTCACTTAAAATTGTTATCATATATAATACATTTTAACTTGGCCATTTGTATCCCACACGGGTCCCGATTTTCAAAAGGTCCAAAAGTATGAAATTCTACCCTCTTCTTCACAACCTTACACCGCACAGAGGCTTTGTCACCTCTAATACCTGAACTCTTAATCCAGAAATAACAAAGATAAACGTCAGTGAAATCCTAAGCAGCAATTAACCCGTCCATTGTGTTCCCACTGATACCGTAATTTGAATTTCCTTGTTTAAGACCACATTTTCTCTTTAATAGGTCTGTACATTGCTATTTTAATCCTGCAGTTGATTATGTGGCACTATTTTTAGACACTGCAATTCACTTACACATGAGTAACAGTTGTTGTATTGTACTGCACTAACATTGACGTTTTGACGGTGCGTTTTTCCAGAATCCATCTTGTCTAACGTATTGAAGACATTGTCATAAAATAATGTTTTGTGTAAGAACAACTTTTCAACATACACAGGAATATCAACGATTCTATAGGATAAGAAACGTTTGTATGGATATTTTAACAGAGAAGCTTATGCATTAGTGTAATACTCCAATGTGTAAACCCTTTGAGTGGCATGTATTATATCACTTATTGATAAAGCAAAAAAAATCCCCACACCTGTGGAATTCATAGGATGCATTCTGTATAATTGTGACTGCTACACGTGTTTTCGCACTTGTTTATTTATTTATCAAATAAGAATTTCAACACAAAGCGTTAGCAGTTGGCATTTACATTGTCTGTGAATGCCAACTTACAGCAATTAAATGCTGATTATAAAAGACAATTATATTTCCATACTCAAGTGATTGGTGTAAAAGTTTAGGTAATTGTTTTCTATAACTTTTCGTTTAATTCTTGTTTCCCTTTTTTAATTTTTACATCAAAGTATCTTATCAATAATTCGTCAACTTATTATTTATATTTCGAAATTGCAGCAGCATTTTTGATAAATTTTACATTACAGAAAAAAGAACACTCTGCAAAATTTCCTTTAAAGTGGGATTTGATTCTGAAAAGCGAGATAACTCGCGGAATCTCTTTTACTTTTTGACGTTGTTTGAGGTGAATTTTATTTATTATGAAAAATGGCTTATTTTTCATCAGAAAAGTTATATTTCTATCAAAAATGGCAAAGACACGCCTTGAGAAGAGGCATGGTCCTTAATCAGACTTCTCGATGAGGGATTAATTCCTTAAAATATCTGTTATTGAAAGTTATTATAGATGCTTGTTGACAATTGCATGTTTCTAATTAAATAACATTATAAATTAACTAGAAGAAAAGAGTTGATTAAGGAAACCTTCTGGTTGTATTGTGAATTAACTATAATTGGATAATTAATTATTGATCCCTGCTGATTGTATTAATAATCAATTATATGAATCTGCATATTGTTGTTATTTTAGGCATTATGGACACCCTTTCATGTGTTGCACTGAACCCAAATATTTGCTAGATAAACGAAAAAATAAAGTGTTTAAAACCAAACAAAGTTAACATATTACTGCATCATGTGGTCATTTCATCAATTTTGATCTAGTCAATGGTACTAAAAGTCAGGAAATACTCTATCATATGTACATTATATATATATATATATATATATTTTAAATAACTCTCTGTCTGTCTGTCTGTCTGTCTCTGTCTGGTGGTCTGTCTGTCTCTCTCTCTCGTATCATCAAATTCGTGTCAGAATGAGTTAAAAGGAAAGATTGTTTACAATCAGAAACAAACATTTCAGAATAGATCGAGCTATGTTAAGAAAAACTGTCTCACAAAAATATATTTGCAGTCACGGATTCTGTCATGATAAGCTACTTAAGAGTTGAATGTAAGTAAAATAGCTAAACAAAAGCCATGAAAAACAGTTATAAAAATTAGCAAAGAATATGTTATTTCAAGTTAATCACTTGTCCTACAGTGTGTGGGTATTGTGGTTGAGACCTGTTCTTTCATTTTCAGTTGTGCTCGCCCTTCCCTAAACTTTGTTCTGTATTGCATTCTTGTCCTCGCCGAAAGATTCCCGTCATCAGCACCATCATCGGGTCTTCTTGGGTAAGGGAGAAGGCATTATACGCCAGAACTGACACCATTTTTTACCCAGAAAATATGTCAATCTGAACGTTAAAGATGATAGTGTAAGAAAAATATGTCAACATTAAAATTGAACTGCAAATCTAACCAGAAGAATTCAGCAAAGCTTCAAAGAAAAATATAATCAACAAATGTATACCAAATATCCCACAATATTACTTACAGGTTGGTTTTGAATATAAAGAATTCACGTATTATACATATGTAGGCGGAACTAGATATAACTTAGTTATGAAGATTCCTCCTTCTCCTATATTCAGAATGAGTATATGTATCAACCTACTTTCAAGACATGGATATTGAACAATCAACATTTAGTTAGCCGTCCAATAATTACAGCGTTATCTGTTTTATCTGCTTTTACACTTTTTAGGTTCAAATTGTTTTTCATTTCCTCAGCATATTTCGGGGAGGAAGCCGTGGTTGGGGAGCCATGGGTTCATCCCTCTTACATCATATAATCTAACGCAGGAGGTTTGGTTTGGTTTGGTTTAGTATTGTTTTACGTCCTATAAACAGCTATGGTCATTTAAGGACGGCCTCCTCTGTATGCAAGATGCATGCGTGTAGTGTATGCGTGTGTGTTTTGGGAGGCTGCGATATGTTCGTGTTTGTCTCCTTGTGATAGTGCGGAACTGATGCCGATTTTATAGTGCTACCTTACTGAAACATACTGCCGAAGACCCAGCAGGACACCCTACCCGGTCACATTATACTTATAACGGGCTAGCCAGTCGTTACACTCCTAAATTGCTGAGCGTACAACGTACAGGATCTTAGCAGTTAAGTTGGCAGGGCATTCACAGAAAAAAATTGGCGAGAAAATATGTAATGTACTAAACAGAAGTAAGTTACTTTTGAGTTGGTAGAAAGACAATCATGATCTCCATTCCTACTAGTTATGCCAACTTTCTGTAAACGGAACTGCTAGTTTTAATGTCCAAACGTGTAACACACTGACAGCTTCAAATGATATACATAAAATCACTTACTATCATATTGCTGTACTGTATAAGAATTTATTGAAATATTAATTTGTGCCCGGACTGGTTCAGCCCATGATACCGGAGCAAGTTCGGTCCATACAACACATAAAAAGTCGTAAAATTGGCGGGAAAATATGACGTTGCCTGCTTTATTCCGTCATAATTAAGCTGAACCTGGGCCGAAAGTGCCCGGAAGTCTGTCCGAACTTACCTCATGGTGGGACTGAACGAGTCCCGCCATGAGGTAAGTTCGGACAGACATCCAACCGTCCGATCTTCCGATAGAAAAAGTTAAATAATTCTTCACAAACGGACGTGCTGCCATACTTCCCAGAACCGATTTTAATACAAATGGGCCGAACTTATCCCGGTTTCCCCTAATTGTTATGTCGGTCGACGGAATTAGATTAGATTGCTATCTAAGTCCGTGGTCGGTCTTAAAATCTCATTATAGCTTGTGTTTTATTGTTATTCCTCGACTTTCCGACTTTAAATAAAACTTATCATATCTCATTCTGAATCAGTATTATCTCATTCTGAATCAGTAAATATCATTCTAAATCAGTATTGTTTCATTCTGAATCAGTAAATATCATTCTGAATCAGTATTATCTCATTCTGGATAACAAATGCTACGCACGTTTTAGGCTTTGCCTTTTCATATTAAGGTGTGCCCAATGCCATAATCCTTGATTTGATGCAATAGCAAAATACAAATACTGTTTTCTGTTTGTTTCTCTTAGAGATATGGCTGAGGAGGATTCGGTCCAACTGTTACATACACAGAAACATAACGAGGGCGTTTTAAAGGAGAACGCGTCTACGGCAGTTATTGATATAGTAGAACCTGACTCCCATAGAGTCTCACGTCGACAACTTCCCTCCGGCAAGAAGTATCACTTCTTTCTCTCGTTTAGTAGCAGTGACAACGATCAAGCTACAGTACTAGCGAAGCATTTGGAAGAAGAAAGGGGATTTAAGTAAGTACACATTGCAATGTACATGTCAATCGCCATTACTGACACTTAATGAGCTGTGTATGTGAAGTTGTATTGCTAAAATTGATTTATTTATCCCTAAGCGTCATACAAAAATGTAGATAAAATAAACTGTATTTCAATTAAGATATTAGTAAAGTCTCTGAATAATTAATCTATCCTTATTTCAAATTTCAACTTTGTCGTAATATTGAAGTTGTGATCGTCCAACGATAAAGTCATACAGGGGTACAGTGCGCTCTTAACTTAAACACACCAACATGCCACCTCATCACACACGCAAATATACATTAAACACAATGAAACACCTCCTTAAGTTAACTTAACTGCTAAATACCCAATAAAACCGAACCAAACTGATCTTTATTGGGAAATGTGTCTTTGTTTAAACATACATATAATCTTGATCTCCATACGTGTCAAGTAGTATACATTGTACATTTGTAATTTGCAATTTAAACTGACAAAAAAACACCATGGAAATTGTATTTGTTCGTCAATGTCCCAACGCTGTAAGCATGAACTTAAACAACGAATTAAATGTGCCAGCATATGTCCAAGGTTTAAGAGGAATACGTATAAAATGCCAGTGTTCATCGTTTCTTAGTATAGGTACCTCTATAACTCTTATGGGGATTTTCGAAGACCTGTGACTTGAATGTCAGTAAAACGTCTTTGCTAGTTATGATAACATGAACACAACTGTACAATTTAGATGATCGGTAAACCATCATACTTGTAATGCCTTTTCTACACTGACAAAATTGAATCACCATGGCCCTAAATGACCACAGCCGTCGATGGGCCGTTAAACATAAACAAACAAACAAACAAACAAAATTGAAGGCACGCGGTTAACTATTTTAATGGTTTTAGGTGAAAAAAATGACCAATCACTGGGCTGACATGTATCTCTCCTTTGAAGATTATGGAGGACCGGACATCGAACTTACATTTTATCGTTATGCTGCTGCATCATTCTTTTGTGTACTTCAAAGATCAAACTAGTCCTTTGTACATCATCCACAAGGAAGCACATACTGAACCTTCGGTTTATCTAGGGGTTAGAGAACGTAAGTGAGCTTACCTGGTAACATATGGAATGTCTAGGATAGTCCTGATGTCTTATCTGGTAATCTCCTCATGTTGACCCGAACAGGCACGTGAGAAAGTTCAAGTAATATCTGTAAACTTAAAATACCTAGATATTGTACTTGCACACGCTGACTAAAATAGCATTTCGTCTTTGTGAAATCATAGTTTGTTATTCTTGAACCCCATATGAGGTCAATATGACCTGAGGAGATATGGGTCGTTGTGGTATCAACTTGAATTTATTTCCAATTTCTGTGTTAAACATCATATTGTTTTATTGTAGCTATAATTCTTGGTGCAGATTTTTTTTTTCATTTTCAATCTGGGAAGCCGGGGTGGCAAAGTGGCTAAGGCGTCTGACATTCTGCTATCACTAGCCCTCCACCACTGGGCAGTCGCCAGGCACTGGTCATAGGTCGTTAGTTTTTCTCCGGGAACTCCGGCTTTCCTTCACCACCAAAACCTAAAATGACCATAGCTGTAACTATGACGTAAAACACAAACAAACCAAACCAAATATTCCCATGTGCATGCGTAGATACCCTACCATAGCAACAAAATTGCGTTGCTTAGCGGAAATAGCCAAATATGTTGTTTTTGAAGTTAGTATGCAGTAATGAAAGTATCCGCATGTGACAAACAGATTCCTTTCAACGAATGAACACTTGTATGACAATGTTAAGCATGTGAAATATTTATTTGTTTGGTTCGTGCGGAGGTGCACAACAGACGACATTCACGCATTTTATTAAAAATGCGGAGTTTATGTCTATATTTGTAATGCCATATCGCCTAAACCAGTTGTCAAATGAATTTGAAATTTCATAGTTGCGTACTTCACTTATTTCAGATAACGAATATACCAAATACATCTAAACCCCCCTGAACCTTCAACGATCGAGTCCTTTACCTTCTGTCCCGATTGCAACATTTGACGTCTCTGTTTCTCTCTCCTTGTTATCCATTTTATTTAAATTGGTGTCTATCTAGCCATTCTCGTTCGGCCGTCGTATGTAATATGCGGTAGCATCAACGCAGTTCGCAACGAATATATTCTAATTTGCGCGTTAGCCCTCCAAACAAATACTGTTCGTTGCCAACTGCGTTCATACGATATACGCCGTCAAAATAAAGTTCAATCCTTAAACTACATCCAAAACGGTTGCTAGGATCATATACTTTTATAGTGAATCTTCACCGATATCATGTATGAGTAAATATTGGAAATATACATTGAACAAAACCATGTTTCTTCTTTTGATAGTTTTTTTTTATTCAAAATTAATTAATCTGAGAAGCCCTTCGAACACCTTTATTTATTTAAAATGATGCACTGATCTGGTAATGACGCTGTCGTACATACATATTTATACTATCAGACTACTAAAACATACACTTCAAGCATTATAAATGATATGAAATTCTTTAAAAACTCTGGAGTGTTGTTTTCTTACTTTACACGTCATTGATGCATATAGAATGCTGTGTATTAAGTTTTGTCGCAATGGTACATTAGCTCCCGTTAAGGAGGCCGAGAAAAGCTATAGTTAAACTGCGTTAAAATTACCCGCATACAGTGTTTAGTAATTATAAGGTATATTCTATGTAATTGCATCTTTTTGAGACTTTGTTATGATGGCCTCTATGAAATAGTTGAACACCATTAACATTCAGCTGTTATCAACGGACTGCTGCAATCCAGACAATGTTCGATTCGTTTCAACTAACAAAAAACATATTATAACTATTTTGTCTTGTCTTTGCAATTACTTCTAGCTAGTTAGTTCTGGTGTATTCCAGTTCACTCTACCTTATGGTCGCATGTTTCTTGTCGGTTATGTTGATAACGTTGTTGAACAAGCAGCCAGTGTGATATGTGCTGAAGACAGTTTCATATTTAAAACATTTTTAAATTCCACTATTTTAAAGATGATATAGTATTTTACAATGTCCATCTCGCTAACTTATTATTGCCCTCGCTTTTTCTGATGATTCAGGATATCACATAGTCTAGTCTGATTAAAGCATTTAAAATGAAAAAAGCTTAATATTTTAACCAAATGGTAAAGGGATCGCGGAGAAATTCAATTACCCATTTAGCGAAAGATAATTTAATATTAAATTAGTCTAAACACTCTACACGACTTCATTCATCCGGAAATATAGATTTACAGTTAAAAGTGCAATCGCGATTTCCACCTCTATTCTTGATTGACGATAGAAGCTCAATCATGTACAGCGATAAAAAAAAATGCAATTAATTTTTATTTAATTTTAAATGATAACTTTGTGTTATTGACATGAAAAAAGTACATAAAATGTATCATTAAAGTTGCTTTTTGTTTCAGGTGTATGCTTGCGGATTACGATTTCCTAGGAAACAGAACAGTTTACGACAACATAGAGAATGCTATCAATCAGTCTGAAAAAATAATATTTCTGGTGTCGGATGCTTTTCTCAATAGTCATTATTGTAACAACGAAGTCAGCTTTGCATACACATATTCGTCAGATAACCGGGTGAAGGATTTTATGATTGTTCTCAAATCTGGTTGTTTTGACGACAGTCTTTTCCCTTTGAAGCTTAAGTCCTTATCTTATATCAAAACGGATGGAAAAGAACTAGATGAAATAGGACAGAGGATCGCAAATGCGTTCGATAATATCGATGGTATGTGAAACTTTTGTTATAATAATTTGTGTAAATGAAAGTTTGATCGTAATCGCAGCGAAATGTAACTTCATGTATTATTTCGTGAAATAACTGTTTAAATCTTTTTAAAAAAAGTATTCCACAAAAACATCATCTAATGTTGCGATGCATTTAACATAGTTAAAGTTGTTCGAAAATTGAATGTTTGAAGGAAAAACACCCCCCCCCCCCCCCCTGCAAAAACAACAACAAACAAACAAAATTGCCGAACTAAGCACCTTTACATTATAAAGTCTACGCGTTATCAGTGCCCACAACTACAAATTAAAATTACATCACATCAACATGAATGTCCTAATTATTGTCCGCACAGCTTATGAAAAACTCCGAGAGGAACTCTTAGTCCCGCTTAGGTTAATGCAATGTTACCCATTACCTTCGGAGCAGTAACAATATTAAAAAAAAACCTCGTCCAAACAATGTTTTCTGTATTATATATTGCATAAATCTAAATTTCATGATGGTAACTTTATAATTTGCTGGACGTTAGTTTCACGAAATATCACACTAACACGTATTTTATGCATTTCATTACTTTTCTTATTGCTATTTTCTTTTATTAATATTTCATTATAGATGCAGCAGTAGAGGACATTGTCAACAATGGCAGTGTGATGTGTGTAAAACAACTAACAGAGATTTCAAAAAGCCTGTGTGGAGGTTTAGCCTGTGAGTTTGAGTCTCTCAACAAAAACGAAAGACATGTGCTGAAACATTTTGAAATAGAGGTATGTCTTATGGTTAATAAAAGTTTACTTTAGAATGTGTTTTCTTTCAAATACTGCTAAACGTCAATTACGTAGACTTTCAATTTCGTTGTCATTTTCAATTATAGGCCGCTGAAGAAGACTATGACAATATAACGAACATGGCTGAAAAACGTGAAGTTTTTAAACGACATTCGTTGGTGGTGTCATCTAAAAAGTGTGCTCTATCCTGGTTCTGCTGGTTGACTGGTAGTGTTGCCATGCTTTGCCCCATTTTAGGTAAGATAAAGCCAACGTCATCTCGAATGCCAATGGGCAATATTTCTGTGATTTCTCATCAGTAGGAGTTAAGTTGGCAAAATAGATAATCCATGGATGTTAGTTTAGTTTAAACCGTATTTGATTCATGCTAATTAACATATAAAATTACAAAAGATATCTTATTGTGATGGTTGGGAAACAAGTACTAACATACATATACATGGTCCTTCCCATCGTTCATAACAAGCTTTGCTGATATTACATGCATACCTTTGCATTGATAGCCTGAAAATAAGAAACTGTTTAGAATGAAAGATAAAACATGAAGGGATTTTGTTAGAAGTAACGGGATGTTGTTTACTGATTTAGAAACTAAGATGTTCAAAAGCACTGAAATAGAAAAATGTTTCAACATTTCGAAACAGTATATTCTTCTGCAGTGTAGTACAAGTTTTTATTAGGGCTTTTCACTTTTTGTGAAAAGACCTGTTGTTTTTTGTTATGTTTTTTGTTATTAGTATTATTATTCTACAGAAATCTTGTCACAGCCTTTTTCTCCTAAATAACAGGAAGTATATTCTTGATATTTAGAAATGTTGTAGGTCATGATCTGGAGATGCCATTGAAATATTTTCAACTTCATCAAAATTCAATATGGCCGCCATGACCTATAGGGTGATTATGTTTTTACCTTTTTTAAAACAGCCATATCTCCTTTAAAATATAAATGGTACTGTGTTTTTGTTATTATATACTGATATAGTGTGAATGGGGCTAAATTTGCCCAATGCCATGTAATGAGGAAAAAGGTCAAGTTCAAATCCTAGCCTTTGGGTCAAAAGTCACATATTTTTAAAACTTTTTCATTTTTCACATGTTTCTTTTCTAAATTCTTTAGTTATCGATAGTAAAAGGCCATTCAATCAATTTGATATATTTATTGTTTCTGAAACATTTCCAGTTAACGCCATATGACGTGTTCGTTTTTGCCTATGATCTTTTTGAAAAGCCGACAATATTTTTACAAACTTCAACGATCTTCTTCTCCGATTCTGGCATTGCAATATTAACCACAATTGGTACATGTATGCCTCTAGGGGCCCTTACGAAATGTTATTAATTTTTGGAGTGATAAGCATTTCAAGATGTCCGCAATATATTTGGGTTTGATTTTTCGATATGATATAGAGATATGCAACGGCAAACGTTTTCTCCCATATTGTTTTAGCAAAAATTGTCAACTTTCGGTTTTCGGTGGGGCTCAAAGTTGAAATGCACAAATTCGAAAAAAACTGTTTCTTAAGTTCCACAAGGTGTCAAGTCTTGATATTTGATATGTAAGATGCTGAGATATTAAGCTATAAGGTTTGAAGAAAATGGTTGACCTTGATTGACTATCAAGGTCACTAAGGTCAAATGTTTAAAAACTAATGGCATCTAATTGGCTGGGACGTTTTCGACTTCCTCTCAAGAACAGTTGCATCAATTGACTCCTTAAACGATAGGACAACATGTTGTTACATTCCATGAAAATTCCAAAATCCAAGATGGCCGCCCCGACATCTGATTGGCTGAGATTTTTTTGACTTCTTCTCAAGAATGGCTGCACAGATAGGCTGCTTTCTTATTACAATTGATCTCTATGAGGTCCCGTATTAGTGTTGTTACATTTTGTGCCGATTTGAACATCCAAGATGGCTGCCCATGTCTCTGATTGACTGGGACATTTTCTACTTCTTCTCCATTACGGCTGTACCAATTGACTCCTTACTTGGTACAATTGATCCTTAAGAAGTTGCGGACAAGTGTTGTTACATTTCATGCCGATCCGAACATTTAAAATGGCCACCCTGGCATCTGATTGCTTGGGACATTTTCGACTTCAAATACATTTTGAGCCAGTCACATGTTGACCAAAATTGGAAGATATGGATTAACCTAAACTGTTGTTAAGTGTCAAAGTGTAGCTAGCAATCATGAAAAGCCCGTCAAATTGTCTATGACAATTTCTAGTTTTTCCTGTTTTATATACCTTCATATTTATAGTTTCTGATTTTGACGATATTTATTGTTTATCACATGAAGAAAATGTCATGACAGTCAAATATGATTGGTATTGAACGAGTTCAATATTTTCAATATGACATGGATGCCCATGTACGGCTTTATTTATCACATAACATTCACAATTATGTGTTATCAGCTGACTCTGTATCGATCAAAACCAAAATACAAATAAATATCATAGTTTCGATATTCTAGTATTTCCAGATTGGGATTGGGATTTTGATAATGAACAGTTTTCAATGCAATGAAAATAATAATGCCCAAATACATATTGTAAATTCATTTAAAACTAGAAATTGATGACTAACAATTTGACGGGCTTTTCACCATTGGGACTGATTTGGGTTTGATCATGGTCTTTTGCTTCTAACAACTAATAGATATTTCTGAAAATTTACTTAGAGCACAGCTGCGACTTTGAGTATAAAAATGTGCAGTGTTTGAAGTCAATGAAAAATCAGTTATACCAAGTAGCAGGCATGAACTTGTGCAAGTCTACAGTATCAGGCATGGACTTGTGCAAGTCTACAGTAGCTGACTGAGTAGTGGGGGATTCCCGGGGTGCGAAATGACGTCAGAGAAAGAATGGATAAATATAGGCAGCCAATGGGTGGTGTTGTATACGAAGGTAATCCATAAAAGTCATATCGTCCTTCAACTATGTACATCAGAATGATGAATTGTAACAAGCATTTTAATTTGTCTATATCGGCTCGGTTTGCCATGCAAAAGAAAGGCTGATGATACCCACTGCAGTAGAGATGAAAACTACCCCCACTTTTAAGATTGAGAGTGCGTAGTAACTACTGTATTATTACCAGCGTGTATTAGACATACTCAAGTTAGGAACGTTTCTCGGTTTTGTTAAAAAAATAATTAAAACAGTTAAAAAATGAAAAAGTTGAAAAATTGATGACCTTTAACCCGATAGGGAGGATTTTAACTTGACATTGTTTCTAACATTTTTTGAGGAAAAGTTAGCTCCAAGCAATACCTGCAAATGATATCAGGCATAAATGCTGTATAAACGGTTTTCAGTTATGGCGGTTTTAAGATTTTTGTCAAAAAGATTTGGACGCCTTATCAAACGAAGCTGATGGTGAAACGCCCTAATAATAAGAACAACACTTTCGACCCCTATGACCTACAACCCATCAGTCCACTATCATTCTGCAACAAAAATATTCCTTTTTGCTTCCTGGTAATATAGAAAATGATTGTTAAATATAATATGCCTTTTTTGTGTGTCTTAATATAAATCAAAGTACTGAGAACACTTCAAAAACGCACGAAAATGAAAACGGTTTTTGATTTTCACTTTTAAATTTATATCTAGAGTAAGTTAAGTTCATTCATTTGCACACACTTTAAAGCCATTCATTCAAGCACACTTCTTTCCAAACATCGTTACCCTGGAATTATTGGTTATTCAGAAAAAGTGATGTCAATATTTTTTCAAATATATGACCTCTGTGACCTTGAAAGTCATTTAAGGTCAATCCTTTTTACAAAGTCGATAGCGCATTACCTGACCATATTATGTATCAAATAGTAGGACTCTAGACCTTGTAGAACTTTAGAAGAAGTTTTTTGAAGTCATTATCTTTAAATAGCACATATGAAATTTGACCCCTGAATAACTCAAAACTTTACTTGGTTTCTGCCAAAAATATGCGCATTGGTGTTGTCCACATCATAACTGAATATAAAGTGAATCTATCGAACAATTTTTGAAATATTTTTGATTAAATAAAATTTATTTTGTTAAACATTTGACCTTTGTGACCTTGATAGTTGATCAAGGTCAACCATTTGTTGTTTAAACCTGATACCCAAACATCTCAGCATCTTAAATATGAAATATCAAGACGCTAGACCTTGTGGAACTTAAACGGACATCACGTGAATTGCCATATTTGTTTTAATGAATGTATGTATTGTATGCACTTCCACTTATGTTACCACGCTATCCCCATATTCATAGTTCGTTCCAAATGTCCAGTTTGACCACTTGAATTGTTCGGGAAAGCCCTGCTAAAAATAGCGCTTATATAACGTCACCTGACTAAGCAGTTAACACAAGTGGTCTGAGCGAGATGAAACGGTTTCCAAAGGGGCACTCAGAGAAGGGCCTTAGGCAACTGCAACTTCTTACCGCACTATGAAACCAAGTAATATGATTTCTTAGTCCGTATTCAAACTTATTGAACAGTAATTATTCATCATCAGAAGTTAATTGCACACTTGTCAATATTCAGAATTTAAATTTATTTAGCTTTAAACATATTTGTTGCCAATAAAATTGAACAAGGGATGGGGCACAAGTTTTTTCAAATTATCACAGCCTTCTCCCGTCAAACATTTACAATTAATTGTCAACAATGATAATAGACATAAACATAAAGTATATATATATAAATATATATTGAATTAAGTACCAGAATGTGACCGGCACATATGTTACGGGGCTTTACACATTCCCTCAATCATGGGACAAACCTTTCTGTGAAAAGGAATATTGACGAGACGAATATCCCTTTTCAAATGTTCACATGAAGGGCATATATGCCATGACAAACTACACGCGCATAAAAAAGAGAAACGTTTGTGATTTTTTTATTACATTGTACAACTCAATGTCTTTGGCCAATTCTGTTTTCTAGACCATGCGTATACATTTATGTATACCCTCTTTCCCACATGTAGAATATGTGTCAGATATGGAACGTGTTGAGATACTTTATAATTATATTTTTTCGATATTTTACATAGATTAAATGATTATTGTAAATGGACCCTTTTTATGCGGAGACAACTTTTCCTTAATCATTTCATTTTTGTCCGAAACAGAAGCCGTAGTAATCGGCAGCACGCGTCATTTTTACAACGTAAACACATGCTTTTCCCCCCTGTTTTTACTACGTATTCCGATTGTATATGAAGGCTAAAATTAATTCTTTATAGAGAAAAGGTTGTTACATGATCATACAAGTCAACATCATATTAAAAAAAATGAACTGTTGAAAAATTACGATAAAAAGATGTTATGCGATCCTATTTACTAGAAGTAGGTTCTCCTTTCTCAGTTATTCATCGTGGTCCGTCATTTTGACATTTTTAATGTAACCGCGATAACGCCGCTTTCTGACGAAGAGCGATTTTTTTATATTGCGTTGTCGCACCAGAGGAGGCCGGGTATTCATATTAGTACTAATTTAAATCTTGCATGTAAAAGCAAAAGAAAATCGTTTAATTCAGCAATATAATTACATCATACCATTTTACTGAACCCGGTGATACTATAAATTATGTAATTCTAATAGCGCACGTATCTCATTTGACCCCGAGTACTGACAGAGAAGAGAACAGAATACGCCGTGGCCATCACAACAGTTATACCTTGGAGGGCCTCATGGCAAAATCAACCTAACCAGTCACTTATCCCTCCCTTTCGCATAATCACTGTATAATTTTGAAACACAAAGTGAACTCTCTCTGATACATGCCAATTAACATATTAAACTAAGTTCATCTGTGTTCAAACTCAGACAAAGATACTAGCGAGGTTAATAGTTTTAGATATTTATTCATAACATAAACAGCGCTAGCATTCTGTCGATTCCACCGGCTAACCGGAAGAATACCATGCACCGTACTAACTGCTAGGACAGTTATTTTCTCCTTTGAATACTTCGCACCTGCATAAATGAAGATAATGTACACATTGCGCTATCTTTTGACCATTTTGCAACTTTTCGCTTCATAGCTGCCACGGTTTTACACTTTTCTTTCGCTTTCGCCGTGATGCTCCTTTAAGAGGAAGATTTTAAAAGTTTTTTACCCAAAAAGTGCATTTCAACATTGACCCCTACCGAAAACCGAACGTTAACAATTTTTACTAAACTAATATGAGAGAAAAGGTTTGCCCTTGCTTATCTCTATATCATATCGAAAAATCAGCTTTGTGCTTGATAGTGTTAACGAAACCTATTGGTATAGGCTATGAACAAATCGGAGCCCGTGGTGGCCATCTTGCAATTCTAATCGCTCCAAAAACTAACAACACTTCGTAAGGGCCCCAGAGGAATACATTTACCAATTGTGGTTAATACTGCAAGGGCAGAATTGAACAAGAAGTTTGTAAAAATATTGTCGGCTTTTCAAAAAGATCAAAGGCAAATAATGAACACGTCATATGACGTTAACGGGAAATGTTTCAGAAACAATTTGTATGTCAATTGATCTGATAGCCATTGTCTATCGATTATCAAAAGAATTTGAAAAAAAAAGAAAAAGTTTTAAAAATAGGTGACCTTTGACCAAATGGCGAGGATTTAGACTTGACCTTTTTCCTCATTACTTGGCATAGGTCAAATTTAGCCATGACCACACTCTATCAGTATATCATAACAAACAAACAGTGCCTTTTATATTTAAGGAGATATGGCTGTTTTAAAAAAGATTAAAAAAATCACTTTATAGGTCATGGTGGCCATTTTGAATTTTTGATGAAATTGACAATACTTCAATGGCATCTCCAAACCATGACCTACACCATGTCAAATTATTAAGGATATACCTGCTGTCATTTAGGAGAAAAGTCTGTGACAAGATTTGTGTAGAATAATAATAATAATAATAATAAAAAACATAACAAAAACAATAGGTCTTTTCACAAAAGGTGAAAAGCCATAATAACAGTTGGTGTGTCATGTGGTATAGTAAATAAAGGTAGCACCTGTGGTGGCGTAGGAATGTGTTCCAAAGGTTTTAACCAATCGCAACACCTCTAGGTTTTATAACACGTGTGTATTACCATATTTGTGACGTGGCCGTATGATATAGACATAAAAAGCGTATTCTAGATTAAATAGCTATAATAAAAGTATTCGGTGTACTTTCTTCTCCACAGTTATCTTGGTGTGGGCTTACAATGGTGTTCACTCACCTGTCGAGTGGGTAGTGGTGATTGCCGCCATCCTTGGAATTCTGATAATATCTTGCACTGCCCACTGCGTGTTTGGTAGGGTAAGGTTCCGTAAGGTAAGTTTTCTCGATATACTATAGTAGAACCTTTGTTTGTGTATGCTAAACTGCTAACACACATATGTTATGTTACGATCAGAAAGATGTATCATATAGACTTCAATATAAAGCATTTGCTTGTTTAAATCACAGGATGAAAGCTTTTTACTTTCCATACGATCGTCAAAGAAGGATGGTGTTGAAGTTTACCATTTTGTGTCCGTCCGTCTGTTTTCTTATGGGCATTTGTTCATTTCTTGATTTCAAAAGCTTATCTGCAGCAAAGGCTATGTATGCATCTTGGGATGGCTGGCTGTTGCATACTAAATTGTCCAGTTCCTCTTTACACAGTATTAATGTTAACAGTTCTTTTCGAAACATACTACAATGATGATTTGAAATAGGGGCAAAGGGAGGCAATCCATTTAAAATATATTTTCAAAAAAGGCAATACCGAATTAAAGCTTTATTCTTTCCCCTCCCTTAAGCAAAGGTAAATTAAAGTTATCCGATTTCAACACATCATGGAAATACTTTAACTTCCAGAATTTCATGTTGTAACTTGTCTAAATATTTTGATTTTTTATTTGCAACACGCTAGGAGGGTTCTAAGGTAGACACTTTGAAAAATAACGCTATAACGGGTTTGAATATATTCTGCATTGTATGTGAAAACGTATATTTTTCTTGCAGTTCTCTAGTTTACTACCAAACTGGTACTTCTTTTTCCATTACCCTTTTTTTGCTGGTGCCACACTACGTTGTGGTTGTATTTACTAATTGCATTACAAAACGCAGCAAAATAGACAGCTTTTCTCTACTGGTGTCGCCATATTACAATAATAATGCCACAGAGAGAATGTCATCCAAAAAGTGCATTTGATAATGCATACATCTAAACGTATCAATGTACAGTTTATTATTAACATAAAAAGTGTAACATTTTCTACACCCTTTTTTAATCATTTGCTAAAATAGCCTGAGAGTGTTGTTTCCCTGTTATAGCCCTTTTCTAACTTTTCATGTTTTCATTAATTTTGGTATATTCAGGCGTATAGGACTCTGCATGATGCTGCAAAAGCCCAATTGGTCTTGACAGGAGAGAAGAAGTTCCTAGTTCTGCCGCTATTCGACGACGGAAAGGGATCCTTGTGGGTATCCTTTCATATGGTTCATTTTCAGTCTTTCCCTTGGAAACTGTGATATAACACGGTAACAGGACTTTTCTACATAGCATCAGTATTGTTTAAAACACAGCATGTGAGAAAGAAAAGAGTTTCTGAGTCGGAATTGGCGAACAATGTAAGACACTAAAGAAAGCCTCTTGCCATTTTTAGTAATCAATTTTTTAAAACACTATCGTTTTAGTTCATGAATTGTTTATATGCTGTTTCTAGCCTTAGCTGTATATATAATTCAAGATACAACAGGTTTTACTGAGGATTAATGATTATAAGTACGGATATTTTTTTAAATACATTTTTTTTTAATTTTCAAATAGCAAACTCGACGACTTGAAAGTAAATTGTATAAAAAGGATATTTGACATAAGTAGATGTCGCATTCCAAGCTACCTTTTTCACTGTATTAACTCTTCAAGTGCATAGTAACAATATTGTGTGACGGCATAGACGGTCCAACTATTGATGACTTCATAATGAGTATTAAGCATAATGCATAATTAGTAAGACAGAGGTATAACGCACCAAACATTTAAATTTGAATCAGACTAGGGGTTTTACGATCCTTTAATCTATCTTCGGGCACGATTTATTTTTGTCAAAAATTCACAGAAGAGAAGAGTTGGAGGAATTCACTGGATTCAGTGATGTGTCATCTAATTGATAAATATCTTTAGCGTTCATGTTCCCGCTGAAAAGTTGTCATCCAGTTCTCAAGTTATTTCAACAAGTGGAAAATATTAATCTTCAGTTTTAAACGAACGTGACTAAAATCTTGAATGATGTCAATCTTTTTTAATATGTTATACATATATAAAAAAAAGAATATCAGAGTCGCTGAAGGATTTATAAGATGGAACTTTAACTTTGTCTAAGATTGTTTTTAGATATTATGATATGAAACCATGCTGGGTAAGTAAACAGTGTGTTGTTGTCTTGTTACTTAGCTTTAATCTTTTAATATTTGTTATGAATTCTATTTATCGAATACTACAGAATTTGCATGTGATTTTGTTAATCAAAGGGCTTTGAGGGACAGGACATACATTTTGATAATATATTTAAGGGAAATAACTTCAGCGTCAAGTATGTGTATAATTTATACTTTATCGTGTATACATTAGTGTTACAGTTTTCATACAGTGCCACTAAATATTGTATATCTTCAGATAAGCCTGGAAGGAGTGTATTTCGTATTACCTACATGTGTTGTCAGTTTTGTCTGTAGTATATCGAAACTTTAATTTCATTAAAAATTTATACAAGTTTATATAACCTATAAAGAACGTCTTTCCTAACAATATTATAATATGATTCATAAAAACAATATAGATCACGATAATATTCCATCGATTGTTGACGTAATCTAAAACAAAAATACCAATTACGTTTCATCTACAACATATGGCTTTATTACTACAATCTTATCAGTGGTGCTGGAGGTCTTAACATATATTTGGTAATGATAAGGGATTTTTGTGTCGCCTGCAACGCGAGGCGACATATAGGTACATTGTATTACTTTGGCGGCGTCGGCGTCGTCCGAAACAAGGTTTCCGTGCGGTAGCTCGAGTTCCCTTGGGTTTATTGAACTCAAACTTGGTTTTTAGTGGAGTAATGTCCCTTTCATTGCAAAATAAGGGCATTGTGTAGTAAATGCAAGAACCTTTTTTTATTCTTTAATCAATTCCTTTCAAATTTCGTACGACAATGCTAGAAGCAATAATGTTCAACATATATTACGGGTTTTTCTGTCGTGTTTCAACTTTCTGCGTTTTGGCATATCTGTTTAGACGATAACTCAAGCCAAATCAACTTTCTTACTAAAAGCACTGAGCAGACAACCATCCACTCCCGTGGAATTCTTGTGATTTATCTTCAACGCTTAAGAGTGACATTCTATTTGAATATCAGCTGGACTTTGTCCTGATAGAATATGTTGTGCTTTGTTTAATGTCGTATCGATGTACTCATTTTGTTCATTGTTTATAAAAGGATTTTCTTATAAGAAGAGCAGAACAGACCCAACCAGGAGCATCCCTGGAACAAATACAAGTAAGGAATCGTATGAACATTCATTTGTACCTGCAGTCCTAGTATATACAACATGTTGTTTAGGTAGCAGTGTACAGTAGAAATGGCCCGACTCTGATAAACAAGGTACATGTCGAGGAAATGTAAACACAGCGGATTTACCCTACACAACACATGTGCACATATATTTGTAAACTGCATTACATTTACAATACATATAAAGTACTGAGAAGTGTATAAACCTCTTTTTTCTATGTATGTCACTTGTGTGAAAACCATGTTTACCACATCAAAAATTATCAAAAAATGCCAAAAATTGCTATTTTTAACCCAAAATTTGACCCCTGCATTTAGTAATTTTTTTCCTAAGGTCTGTCTGAAATTAAAGATTACCTACCTGGTTGCAGAATTATCTGGGTCCCAGTAAAGTTGTAAAACTTGATTTTTTGCAATTTTCCGTCTTGTGCTGTTGTCAAAATTTTACCTCCTGTAAAGCTAGCTTTTCATGTGTACGCACCCTTTCGGATTATGGCCAAAATTTTATTCTCGAACCAAAGAAATCTTCTTTCTTTTTTACAAATGTGAAGCACACATAGCCCACTTCATCATGCTTATACCAATTTTAGTGCAGTTTTATTTTTATATTTTTTTTACATATCATTATACAGGGGTTAGCCATTTAACAAAAATATCACCCATGGCCACAACCCTCTACTGTATACTGCTACCTTACTAATGCTTAGAATTTGTTGCAAAATACAGATGTGATTGAATTGCATTGATTGTTGTAAGCACGGTAGTTTAGTGGTAGGACGCCGGACTCGTGACCCAAGGGTTGCAGGTTCGAGTCACGGCATGGCACTGTGTTGTATCTTTACACAATATACTTTATTTCGCTTGCTCCATCCAGTCTACTCAGCTGTAAATGATTACGTGGTTGGGCAGTGCTAGAATTGTTGAAAGCTAGGTGTAAGCGGCGAAATGGCACAATCGGCGGTATATATGCTACCCAGGGAATTGAGAAAGATATTCGCTGGTTACAAATGCCCTTATAACCATGAATACTTATTTGTGGACCGCATTGAGATGACCTACGAACTAGGTTGTGATAAAGCGGTGTATAAGAACCTCAAATTATTATTTGTATTATCATCATCAATATTGAAAACTCAAATATTAAAACGAGCATTATTCTTGAAAATGTGACAAACTTGAATGATGTAACCTTATGACATTTCTATAAAGAATTAATTGAATAGTTGTTAAAAATATGATATAATATGTATGTTACAATTTTAAAGGTTTAACTATAACATATTCACTACACAAATTTATACAATAATACGTTATATATTTAGTCATTTTTACTCATCAAAATATAGTTTTTTACAGTAACGATGTTTTTTCGAAGCTTTTATAAACCTAATTTGTAATGCAATATCTCGCACATTAGAAAAGATTATGTAAAACATAAAGATACAAGTGATATATTTGTTTACTATCAATTTTGTAAACGATGTATTTTGTAACGTATTTTGTTGATTATGGTTACTAAGCAATAAGTGATGTAATGCTTTATTGACATATAATTATATATTGGTTCCTGAAGTATACAGACCAAAAAGAAAAAAAATACAGTACATGATATAAATATCATTTAACCGGTTACCATAACAATAAAATAATAACAATCGATAACCGAAGCATCAACAAAACAATAATTTGAAACAAAGGAAACATTAAGATGGAGACTCTTGAACAAGTACAACGCGAACAAGACCAGGTGTTCCAGAATGTAAGCGTCTTCTTGTCATCGACGACACCTGCCATGTAGATATAAGTCGAATGAAAATAACGTCAGGTAAAAGCAACAAAACCACAAGACACTTTAAAGAGCAAGATTTAAATACAATCAACCTACATGTCTAGCACATAATTAGTTTATTTCCCTACGAGATCCTGAAAGAGACTATCAAACTTGTCCATAGCATTTCGATAAGACAGCACTACAAAGTTAACACGTTTACACACATGCATGCATAGATTGCACACATGAAGACATGCCCTAAAATGGCCAACCAATATTAAATTCCATCTATTTCATTACAATAACTACAGCACTAGTATATTTTCTTACGAAGGAAATGTGCAAGGAAGCTTTAGAAGACACAATAATGAACAGATATGCTGGAAGATATACCATTACCGGTCTAACCTATCCTAAAGTGAAGCGTCATCCGACCGTTGATGATACAAGCTGTCTTTGTCAAATGGTGCCGGATTCATGTCTAGTAAAAACGAAGAAGACATCGAAACAGTTGGTAAATGATTACACATTTAAAATTGACTGTCTAATAAGCGTTATCATTGGTAAAGTTTCAATTTGGAAACGTCTGCGGAATTGAACATTACAAATTTGTTTGACGAACATAAAGGTGGGGATTTTGTTTACTTTTCTGTGTTTAAAAAACTTTTCTGTGTTTAAAATAAAAGAGTTTCTCCCTGTCTACAGCGATATCAGTAGTATTAGCAAAGTATGGGAAACAAATGGAACTAGCACTGATTTTTACAAGCTAGAAAGTGATTTTGTCACATATATGTTTGGGTAGCGTACTTATATTGGTAGCGTTCCTTTAAGATTGATGCAGAATTTTGGTAAATAGGACAATTTTGTAATGATCTTTATTCCTCTGCATGCGGAACGCTAGATAATGCCTTTGCATGTATCCTTCACTTAGGGTTTTGTAGCTCGACTGAGTCACAGTACTACCATTAGCTCCTTTTGTTAGAATCACAGTAAAAATCAGAACAGTTTTGATACGGTTTTCTTTTTAGAAATGAATGATCAAATTTACAGTAATGGCGTAGTGTTACGGGTATCCTTCCAAAATAAATTATCTTGTTATGCGTTCAAATATGTTGCTTATTTTATTGAAAGTTAGTATGGTGTATTATTCGTTATTTTTGACGTAGGGAAAAATAGAGGACGACCCAGACCAAACACACGTGATGGAAATTGTAGGCGTTGATAATCTAGGTTTAACTTCTGAAAACGCTGACCTCGACGAAACGCACGTGATGGCAGTATTTGGGATGGAAAACAAGAAGAGCGTATCTTTAGAAAATGACCCGGACCAAACATTCGTCGTAAGAGAAGCAATGACTGTTACCAGGTCTGATACATCTTCAGAAACCGACCAAACAAACACATTGACAAGAAAATTGAATAACAGAGAGGAAATCGTTTCACAGGATACCACAGATTCCGTCGAAATAATCTCTGAACCCGACGTATATACTGCCGAAACGAATTTCTAAAGGATTTTACGGTGATGACGTAATGCCAGGCAAGACATTCATGTGCGATTCATTTATATACTATGTACCACATGAACAAAACAAGTGTGTAAGAGAATGATTTGGTACATGTTTATATATAAATGCGTAATGTGATACATATGTATATGTATATATAAAACAAAACACGAAGACTACAATTTACTAGCGCTTTCGCCAATCTTTGGGCTCTTCTGGCAATTTGAATGTATTTGTGATGTCGTAAATTGAGCACACAAACATAAGACGTCAACATTAATGACGTCATAAACAAAGTACACATAATGCGGACGTCTAGAAATTGCGACGCCTTAAAATGATTACATGAATGTACTTACATGTATGTTAAATGCGTCAATGAAATACGTGTAAATCGAAACGGAAAGTATTATAAATGCTGAAATGAAAACATTGTTAAAGAGTAAATGTTAAAGGTTTTTGAGAGTGAATATCAATGTCAAAGCACAATACCTGGTTCATTAGAACATATAAAACGGAATTTGTAAATTTAAACTTATAAGAGATTCTCCAACTTTCCCGTGTTCAGGCCCAGTTTTAGAATCTTAATAAGAATGTTCTCTAATAATTTTCTTTGTAGAAGTATCTGATGGATTCATTTGATCAATTGGTAAAACTAAAAAAGTTATCATTTGAAGATTCATGAAAATGTTTGTTAACTAATAAATTTCGTAAACTCTCAGTTTTGGTTTGTTTGCGATGGACTGCCATTCTTTGACGTAGTTCATTTCCAGTTTGACCTAGGTAAAATTCAGAGCATCTCCTACAAATTTCAGCATATGTTACATTTTTTGATTTGCAATTCATATTACATCTCATTTCAAATGTTTTGCCATTCTATTTTCAATAATGTTTTTGTGTGTATATATATAAGTAAAAAAACTAGTTCTTAGCTGGGTCTCAGATTCAAGCATTTGACTTTTGCGGTTCAGAACAGCAAATAAAACAAATTCATTAAGCGAAAGCAGGTTTCATTGACAACATAAATAAGTTGATGGAATGTTATGTTCTGCCTAAAAAACATTCTATCTTGGGGAGTATGCTTTCCCCCAAATGCTTTGTAAGATTTGTTCAACTGGTATATTTTGTATGTTGAAGACGTATATTGTCGCCAGCAAAACAATCGTTAAACTATTGTGATAATCTTATCTTAATACGTATTTATGAATAAGATTTTAAAAATATGTAATACAAACTATACAATTTCATAATATATTGATATTTTGATTATAGTTTTTGTGTAGAATTAATGATGCATTAAATACGCTGAATCGGCAGTCACATTAAAAATTCTGTTTTCCTCAGAAAAGGTGTTTGGTCAATTTAATATTTGCTAAATGAATATCAATAATAAAAGTACACGTTTTATGTTCCGACTTCCAAAATCACTTGAAGAGTGTCGACTAAATATTGAGTTTAAATACAGTCATCACTTAACAGTGGTCTTTACTTAAAACTTCGAAATTTAGATTTTTTTCATTTCATTATGGAAAGTGGACACACTTGTCTTTTATTTTGCTGACTATAGAGACACCGTAAGGAAAGTAATGTTGAGGTGTAAAGCCTATTTATATTAATTTCATCGTAAAGCACAACATTTTCACCTTTAGACAATAAAAGAGGGAGGAAACTGGGAGGATTGATAGAGAGTAAAGGTGACAATTCAAAGATTTAATGGCGGAGTTGAAAGAATGATTTAGGAATTTCTTATCACGGAATTTGTGGTCGGAAATATGTTTTGTTTAGATTGACGTAACACGGGTTTTCCAGTTACACAATGTAGATAGTAAGCTTCGGACTAATTTTAAAATGTAGTAAATGAGTCTATATTTAGTTATAAAATGTAAAACGTTGTTCTGCTTACATACAATGAAGTTAGTAAGTTGCTTACTAGTTGAAAATTATAGTTAGTGAATTTGTAATAATACATTCAATGAAGTAAATAAGTTTGCTCTTATAATACAATTTAGTTTGAAGTTTGTTACTATTTTGCAACATACATGTAGTATGTAAGTTTGTTACTAGTTATAATATGTAATTATTATTGCTATATTCTCTGAAGGTAATAAGGTGTTCCATGTATTCCATATCGTAGATTTTTCTGTCAGCTATTGTTTTCTGTTTAAAACAGTACCACTGCATCCGTTTTAATTGGACAGAAGTGTTCCACTCATTATTTCCTTTACATTTGGTGCTTTCTCCCCACTGCATAGACGATGAAGCAACCTAAAGGATATTTTTCTAACAAAGAGTAGCTTTCCCTGTCAATTGTTTCAAATGCTTTGTGGTCCATGAATTGGACACAGAGTTTGATGCTGTGCTTGTACAGATTCCATATGACGACAATTTAAAGTGAATGCTTTGTTATGTAAAGGTTTCCAGATCGACACCTGAAAGTTTCCTGTTAAACGAATATTTTATAATAGCAACATAATAATATAGTTTATCTTGATGCTATCCTCTATTATTTTATTTGTTTATTTAATGTAGAAAGAAAAAAAACCTTCTAAACAGTATTGCAAACGGTATAATAATTTGCATATGATGTTCCTCATTCATGAACGTGTTGATATATTTTGGTAGCTCTGAAAAGTTCTGATGTTAATACTTTCATCCATTTCTTCCTGTTGGAAGTCTGAAAGATATTCCCGTTGTTGACTTTCATTTAGAGTTTTAGATAGTCTACCTTTCTCATCTTTTGCCTTATGTTTTGAATTAGTAGTAAATATTGAGTTAAATAACAGTCATTGTTCCTTTAGCTCTTTAATTCCTCAGTGATAAAAAATAGCCAGGTATCAGAGTGAATCTCTGATAATTGTATAAGAACAGTTGAGTTACTACTCTATTACATGCCTACAGTACGATTCGTGCTTATCAACCGTATTCTAATAAAGACGGAAATGGATGGTCGGGCAGTATTATATAACCATATGTTTTAAGTATATTTTGTACTTTTATTAGCGTGTATACAATGTATATATATGATATAAATCATTTTCTTTTAGTTAGTTATCCTATAATTTTGTTTAATCACTACATGTAGTAGTATGAACAAGCTACAATGGCAGCAATACTCCAGATCATTTAGCATATTTTTCTCATTGAAATAATTAAGTCTCTCATTGACCTAATTTCGTGATTTTCGTGATTTTGTTTAATACTATAGACTCTAAGAGGTACACCACGATTCGTCAGCAAAATTAAATAGGAGCTCTTTCAATACCTACTTATTTTTAACCATACTGAACAAAACTCAACAACAAATACGAAGACAAAAGGTGAAAAGGAGTTGCTTTGAGTCCGCCCTCCTTCGTAGATATTGTTTTGATAAAATCTGATGATAGTATATCCGATGTTTTACATAAAAACAGCTGCACAAGCTACGGCGTCAAGGTCGAAGATCTTAACTTATTTCAATGCTTTGTAAGTGAGTACAAACATAACTTTAGTATCACGTGTACCGACCGATACATACTTGCGAGTATTACATTAAGGGCAATTTATGCTTTAGTTTGTTGAATAATTTGTTCAGAATTATCATATATAGAACTTAAATATTAACAAAATCCAGTTGACAGAAATTGTATTTTTATCAACATTTATATTCGTTTATCCATAGATATAACGATCAGCTATTAAATGTTTTATTGTATTTGATGTAGCTTTATGATTTCGTAAACTTAATTGACAGAAACATGTTTTAACTGTATTGTACCTATCTATATGTTGTACGTCTTTGTTTCTTTTGTAGCAATACTGCAATGTTCTGTAATTTCTTTTCGCTAAAGAAACTTTTTTCAGTCTGATCTTTAGTAGTACCAGATTAGAGGTTTTGTTTTGTCATAGAATGTCTGTCTTTGTATAATACTATAATTGAAACAGGATTGGTTTGGTGTTATTTTATTTAAAGTCCTATTACCAGCTAAAATAATTTAAGGACGTGTAGTGTATGCCTGCTGGTGTGTGTGTAAGCAAGAGAAAAGGTTTGTTGGTGTGCTTGCATCCTTGTAATAGCGCGGATCTGATATTTCACTAAAATACACCCTTCACATCATTCCGCCCGGTCACACTATACTGACAACGGGTGCACCAGTAGTTGCAATTCCCCTAAATGCTGAACGTTAAGCAGGGAATAACAACTACCATTTTTTAAGGACTATGGTATGTCCCGGCCTGGGGACAGAACCTATTACAAGAAGACGTGTGATATTACATTAAATGTGTTGTTTATTTAATCGGTAACATACAAAATAAGTATTGAAAACTAAATGATCATACTTTGTTTCATGAAGATCTGAATTTTATTTTGAAAATTATAAGAATTATCCCGGGAGAGCTCTCTGTAAATCCTCGCTTGGTTGCTTGTTAGTTTGCCTGTGTTTTTACATAGGCCTACACCGGTAGTGATGACGCCTTCAGAAACGGTGCTAGATTTCTTCCGCAAGAGAGCTCCTGTCTTGTCTTTCAAACAGAAGGTATCAGAAGAGCAAATATTATTCTATATCAACTTCGAAACACTTTTAGTAATTTAAATTATGATTTACACCCTGCTCTGATGAACATGAAGCAGTATCGTATTACTTTTTGGAATGTCCTATTTTTAATAATCAAAGAACTACTTTTTTCACTTCTCTTAATCACATTGATATACATATTCTTCTCCAGGGCTGTTCTGATTGCAATGGGCTTACAAACAGACGAATACTTGATGATGTGCATTTTTTTATTAGAAAATCCCGTCGTTTTAATTTGTGTATGACTTAAAGCCACGATGCACATGTGAAACAAAAATATACTGATTCTATATTACATCCAGGAGATTCTAGTTGAGCATGACTACTGACTATTACATATACTTATCTTGACATTGTAAATAATTACACTCTATATGTATTAAATTAATTTATTATTTTTAATTTTAACAGTTGTTGGTAGCAGTGACCTGTGCGATATATGCACATGGACTTTTGGTCTAAGTCTGCCAATATCTGTATATGATAATGTATATATAAGCTGAAATTAATGTATTTGTACATGTACTTGTATGTGTGTGTAAGTGTGTATGAGAGGTGTGAGATGTTTCCTTTATGAGTTACTTCCCCTTAGCCTTGTGTAAGTATGAATTATTTTGTGTTATATTTTTCATTTCCAACATGTCTAAAATATTAAGTATCATCGTTTATTCAACTTTGGCCATTTGACGGAGAGAATTTACATAGGCTTTGCCTGTTATTC